GTATTGGAGTTATGTATGTTCCGATAATCTTGATCAGATTTCTCACATTTTGAGTCCAAAATCAACCCGATAGAATGAAAACTGACGTCAGTATAGACGATCAAAAAAACAATTTAACATTGGTTTAAATGGGAGATGTGGAGAGAAAAACGTGAATATCTCGGAAACTAGATACGACAAAGTGGGCCCTTTTCACGTGGACGTACACATATATTCTTGAACGTGACACTGACTATTCATATAAGATTGCAAATTCAAATAAATCAATGAATTCTCGTCAATTGTCTCGAACAATTTTTTTTCTTTCTTTATTATGTGAATATTTGATAACAGCAAGTCATTTCAACAGTAATTTTCAATTTCCTACGGTGGAAACATCGTTGAAGAAATCCAAATCATTTTTTACTGAATTCTTAAAATATTTCCACTCCAGAATTTAAGATTTATCACAGGACAAATTGAGTAATTCAATAAAATTCTCATAGAGTTCCCATAGGAATTAAATAAAATGTCTTGGACTGTTAAAAATTGTTGTCTGAATTTCCGTGACGAATTCCGGAAACTTTCATCGTGTTGTAATTCTACTGAAATTTCAGGAATTCTTGTCATTGAAAATTCAGACTTTCGTGGAAAAATCGAACAGGACTGTGAATTTCCATTCCATTTTTCTCTGAAAATAAATAGAAAACCAGAAAATTCTGGTGAATATATTCTTGAACTTGACACTGACTATTCATATGAGATTGCAAATTCAAATAAATCAATGAATTCTCGTCATCATCCTCCTAAAATTCTGGAATTTTACTGAATTTTCAGTGAAACCTGAAATTTCATGTTATTTTCCCCTAAATCGCATTCAGTTTCACTGTCCTAAAACTTGGTAATCAACTGTGGATGAAATTTAATTTTTTTTTTAGAGTGTAGACAACCCACTAGGTCATCCTATAAAATTTTTCCATACATGTCGATCCCGATTGTTCACCTTCCACCGCAACATCCGACATACCACTGAAACAAGAAGCGTCTCGACCCTTTTTTCACCGTTGAGTTTCCTGTTTCAAGGATATATGTTACGTCGACACATATTCCTTGACGCAGTCGTTGGCGAGCTGTATATGTACCTCATACATCAGATGACGGTGTAACATCTCCGTGGTGTTGGCACTTCCGTTGTCCCCTCTCTCGGCCCAAGCTGTCTTCATTCATTTTGCACCACTGTATCCGGCAAACAATTCCATCCACACTTGGAAGATGCATCTCAGTACGTGTTTTCTTCATCCACTTCCTGCATCAAAGGAGCGAGGAAAAACAATTTGATTCTGTCGTTGAGGGATTGCCATCAGGAAGGATTAGTAATGCGTTCTCCAGTGGATCGGAGGTACATCGGAATGAAAATTGTAGGGCATCACCTTGACGACAGGCACTAGAGTCAATATAACCAGGTGTAATATTGTTTTAATTATGCAGCCGGCATTCGGGCATGAGAGCGTTATTAATTTCAGTACCGCACCCTCCGGACTCACCATTACTGGGTGAGTTTGCGAGAGCCAGCAACATGCTCGAGTTACTCTGTCTCTTATATCTTCCTGCGCAGCTTGTTCCTCTTTCTCGCACTACTCCACATCGTTCCACGCTCTATCCTCCGACAGCGCTCAACCTTGGAGTTCCGACTGTATATGCATAAAGGTATCACCCTGTCTCTGATACAATATACGGGCTCATCTTCGAGATGGTATCTGAGATCGTCGAGCGGGGAAATTATTCGGGGAGACTTAATTAAACGTCAAAATACACTGGTGAATATTTTTGGCGGAAATTTCCGGTACACTTTTTGGAAATTTTTGTCACGGTAGAGGATGAGGTGCGCTAGACGCGCTGGAGTTTAGGTGTTCCGTATCAAAAGGAAATATCTCTTTATATTATAAAAATCCAAATCAATTTCTGGTGATAAAAGGTTGGTACCCGAAATTAAAGGTCATAATAAGGGGTATGAGAGTTAGACCAAGCACATGTCTGCAAGATTAAAGGTCGCAAGATTAAGGGTCACAAGGGTCAGAGTAAGGATCCAAATAACGGCATAAGGGTCAAAAACCAAGGAGCAGAACTAAGGGTCATCAGGATCAAAATAAGGGTCACGAGGGTTATAATGAGAGTCAGATTAAGGATCTTAAAGGTCAGATTAAGGCTCCAAATAAGGGTCATGGGGGTCAGAAGCTTGTGACCCAGAAGCTAAGGCTCACAAGGGTCAAAATAAGGGTCTCAATATCTTCCTATATTGTAAAAATCCAAATTGATTTCTGGTGATGAAAATTTGGTGCTCGAAATAAAATTCCAAACTTAAGGGTCAGAAATGAAGGGTCAAAATAAGGGTCACGAGGGGCATAATGAGGGTTGTGCGGCCCAGATTAATGGTCAGAATAAGGATTATGGGGGTCATATGGAGATCATAAGAAATTTTATTGAATTTTTATTGGAACTCTTTAAGAATTCTCCTCAATTTTTATTAGAATTATCTTTAAAAATTCTATTCGTTTCCTCTTCTGAAGTTATGAAAACAAAATCATAGTAACGAACGCCAACGGCTGTCCGTTTATATCGCGAAAAATATTCCGTACTTAAGATCATTCATTCTCCTTGCAGCGCTGTCCGACCCCCCATATACATCAGACTTTATCCATCACAAATTTGTTTTACGTACAGTGTGAGATGATTCAGTCCGATGCTAATCCCATGAAAAATAGTTCACTGTCTATATTGATTATGCCATCGAGGACTGTAGAATGGATAACATTGTGCCGGGGGAGGAGTGAAGGTGCACCCGGATATAAAAATATTGTCACGGGAGAAATGAAATATGTTCGTGTCATAAATCACGTACGACTGAACATTCTCCATGGGAGTTCTCAGCTGAAGATGAAAAAAGGGGGCAAAAAATGATATCCACGTATAAGCGGAATCGGAGAAATTTCCTTTATAAACCAAGCAAGGCACGTAATGTATTATTATTTTTTCCTTCTCTCTTGAAATGAAATTACGCCGTTTGGTTATTTCACTTTTTTCCCATTCTTTTATGAAACTTTTCTCGTTTAAATAAAGACTATTCCGTAATTACGGCATACCCTCCAGCGAAATTGAATTAGTGCACGAGAACACTGGAAAAATCTCAACTGGGTACACACACACGTACGAAAAAAATTATAACAAAATCTGGCGAATTCGCTAGAAATTTTTGTTTCATTTCGTCGATTCTCTTGAAAAATTCCGTAGCTTGTGTATTCCGCGTTTTTTTCCAACAGAAATCAATAGAATGAAAAAAACTAAGAAAATTTGAGCCGAGGAAATCCTAAAAAAATATCTCAATAGAATATGTTTTATACAAAAAACCGAATCGAGCTTTTCAATCTTTTCCCTTCAACATTGTTAATTATTAACATTGCTCTGTTATTGCAATAAACGTACTATACCCTCATTACTGTAACCACCTAAATGTCGGTGTTGCTCATGCATCAGAATGAATGCGCAATATCACATGGGTGATGCATGTGGTGTGCAAGAATATAAAGAAAGAAAAAAAAGATTTGAATTGCCTCGACGTATCCTATTATTTTGCGCAAGAGTAATTTTTCCTCGTTTTCCGGACAGTTTGCCCTGGACCCCCGGAAATGCAGTAGATTACGGGTAGACCCGCAGATATAAATAATCTCTCTCCGTCTTTTCCGACATTCGTGACCGCTGTACAGTTGACTTATTTTGTTTTTCACCCCTTTTCTATTTTCCTTCCAACTTCACCTTAAGCTTAATACCATTATTTCTGCTATCTCATGATAAACTCAGAATTCGTGATTAGCTGCATTGTTATTTTTCCCGTCATTCCTGATTTCCCGGTGTTTTATTCATGTCAGTGAAGCGTTAACGCTTTTTTTCTCTCACTCCTCGAATCGGCAGATTGGAATAAAACGGATTAGTTGAGCGCGAGAGTTGGCAAACAGAACGGTAGAAGCAGAGACGAATGTAAATGAATTAAACCATACACGCACGTCACTCTAATCAGCAAGTTGGATAACGAGGGAAAAAAGAGAACCGTTTGAATTAAATGAACGAACGAGTCAGATTACTGATAAATTTCAAACCCTCCGTTGCCATTTGGATTTAATTCAATACATTACCGTTTCTGTCGAAAGTGTTTGCCTGCTTGCAGGAGGCAAAACATCTCTAATGGATACAAAGTGAACCGCTTTTTTCAGGAATTGCGAGGAATTTGTAAACTTTTATTTTCGAAATTTGATACTGCACTGATGCCGATGGGTGGCGCAAAGGGAAAGCAGCCTTTGGGAAATTGATTCCTTGTAATGAACGATTTCAATCGATAACAAATTCTAGGATATATAGTTACTAGAAGTTTACTGATTTTTCAGTTTTCATTGAATAATTGACCAAAAATTTATTATTTTATTTGATTTTTTCTTAAAACGGTGAATTTTCAATAACAAAATTCTTTGAAATTTCAGTTGAAATGTCACGTGATAGAAATGACCAAAAAATTAATCCGAGATTTCAGCCAAAAATCCCTAACAATCCCCTATCTAAACAGTTTATCTATCCAAATGCCCTAAACATCTTAAGAATAACGCAGAAAAGATCAAACTTCCCTCTCCCAATCTCCAGTTATTGACCACTAAAGCTCTGATCTACCCCCCTAACACCCAACACATGTCACCTCTCAGACAACCCAGAAACGTGACATTTTCCCCACGTCGTTTCAAGCAATTTTGTACCGTTGTTCCCCTTGATAGCACCTAGGGGTGCGAATCGACTTCCGGTGATTTTGTTCCTCTTGAATTATCTTCCGAGACCTCCCCCTGCGCCCCCACGTGAAAGCTCACGTTGAAAAGCCGAGGGAATGGATGAAACTATTACCGAGTCTCCAAAGTTCAGCCCCACCAACTTCAGGAAACCTTTTCAAGTAGCATTTATTATCCATACATATGTAAAATAGTCTAGTTCAGTAGTATACACCGCTGCCTTCTCCTCTAATAACATTCTTCACGACTCAACGTCAATCATAGATAGTCAACTGGTTCCGCTCCAGTTCCAGTCTTCAGAATAGCAGACCTCATTAACTTGATGTCACCTCTCATACCCCTGAAATCCTCCTCGACTTTCTCCTCCACTTTGCCAAGAAAACCGCTGAGAAAATCAGATCTCGTATTGTACAAACTGATGTTCATTAGTTTCACATGTGTCAACGGCTCGAATGAACCATCGTACCAGTTCCACATGTTAGCATAGGCTTCTTGAACATCGGCTGTTAATTTCTGTCTATCCAAGCCGTACTGAATAATTTTGTATACATTCACTTGATCCGTTGTAATCCCCTCAAGGATTTCTCGCACAGGTTCCGCTCCCGCTTCAGTGCAGAGAACCCTCGGTATCTGATTCTTAATCGCTTTTGACAAGCTCTCATTACGCCTGACAAATAAAGTCGTTAACGACTTTTCGAGGATTCCTCGCAGCAAGCGTCCTCTCGTCCAGAACCTCCCCATGTCAAAGTCCTCTCCCAATTTTTGAAGTATCCCTGGTGTCTCCAAGAAAGACCACACGAGATCTATGTACGGCATCCCCATGAGGGGAGGAAACTCTATCCGAAGATCTTGGATGGGTCTCAGCAGCTGCACAACTTCGTTGAAGACTTCGCTGTCCTGCTTGACAGTCTCCAGGAGCAGAATCCTCTTCAGGAGATCAGTTAGGTACAGACGATTTGTCCTGTAGTCCCGCAGATTGAAGGACGAGTCGCTCTCATCAGCCGTCAAGTTACTGATGATTCTTTTCAGAGACGCACTGACATTCTCAGCGAAAAATTCTGTGATATTGCTCAACGGCGAATCGTCCAGACGAAGCTTGTCCAAAAAGGATTGCGTCATGGGCTCGACGGAGCCATGAATCAATATACAATACACCCTTATGACTTCGTAGTACACAAATCTCCGGGCTCTGACTTTCTTGATACTTAACATGCCTTTCAGAATCCGGGAAAGTAAGTCCTTCTTGTTTCCGATCGATGTCTGAGGGGAGTTTGCTGCGTCGTCTGTAATACCCTCCGACTTTATTGAATCTTTCAACAGAATATGATTTCCATGTGCAGGATGGTTTAGTGGTTGCTTTGCCTCGGGTGATGGGGGCTGATTCATAATGTCATCGATGATGGTTCTGATCTCATTGTCTTTAACGAAGATTGTTAATATGGTGCTGACGTTCTCGAGGAGGGACGTTATGTTGGGGTTGATAGCAGGCGTGTTCAGGCTTTCTACCCAAGCGGACAATGACATCTTCGGAGGCTCCTCTGGACAGAGTATCTTTCCCTTAAGCTCGATGCTTCGGTATGAGCTTGCTATTTTTGCGAACAGGTTGCTGAAGCAGTTCTTGCCGTGGATGCACTGCCTGTCAGCGTATCCCAGGGAGTTCCCATTCAGGTGGGGTGGAATCCAGAGATCGCAGTGGTTGCTTTGACTGATGCTTCGTTTGGTCTTGGTCGCATTATGCTCACCACCTGCCTCACTGGAGGTGTTGCCGATCGGCGCATGGAATGTCGATACGATGTTCGCAACTATGCTTGACGTTTCGTTATTCATGGGCACTCGATCCTGAACCCTCCTCATAAAACCGAGAACTAAGTCTCGCGGGGTGGGATAAAAGTACCGGACGAAACCCTTGAGCGCGTAAGACAGGCTCAAGTTGCGATCGTTAATCATCTGTTTAAAAGTTTTCACCTCTGGAATCTTCGCCTCCTCCTCCAGAGCATCCAGTAAGAGTGGAATGTTTAATTCAGATTTATCGAAGAAGGGATCCATGAGCCTTGAGCGATGGGATTTTGATACTTTTCTCAGCCGATTTTGGAGTCTTTCAGCAATATCTTTCACGGTTGGATCGAGCTGTGGACGATTCGCGATGGCTTTCATCATCATTTCGACTAATGCGTAAGGAGATTTCACGTTGACGGCACCAATGGTACCCGGAGACCAATCTGGAATTTTACTGTCGCGTAAAACATCCGTCAAGTAGCGAAAGTCTTCTTTATCCTCGGGCGATAATTCGGTGAATCTCATATTCAGCATTAGAGCTGCGAGCACTGGTTGAGTAAGAACGATTGCGCCTTCTTGAATCGCGGAGAAAAAGACGGCAAATTCTTTTCCCATTTCGGCGTGCACAGATCTATCGTAAGTTCGTCTGGTACTTTTTGAATGCAGAAATGGAATTATTTGCAGACCGATGTCAGCGAATACGTCGACTCCTTTATCATCCGTTTCAGGGGAAAGGATGCTCTTCAGTGCGATTTTATTCTTAGTGAATGCTTGGACAATTTCGACAATCGCAGATCTGCAGAATGGGGGCAGAACGAGCTGGAGAACCTTGAGGAGATCGATGATTTGGCCGGTGGGACTGGCTTTGGAGATGCCCTTCAATCGCGGGAGGATGTCCATAGTTCGGATGTTATTCTTACGAACCTCTTCGTAGACGATTCTCAGGCTGGAGTAGGTGTCCTCCGGGAAGATATCGTCGTTAGGCTGATGCAACAAGTACCCTAATAGTCCAAGAATGTTATCTCTAATTGTCGCGGCGACCCATGCCCGCATCACCATGAGATTGCTCTCAGTTTTCGGGAGATTGTGGGCAAAATGACATGTTGACTCGTTGATGTCTAGACTTTGACAGCTCGATAATTCGAAGACTGGGGTCGTTTCGTCAGTGGAAATACGGACGTATCCGCTGTGACCGAGGTTGGTGTCCCCTTCGAGACCGAAGAATGAGGTTTTCGGTGGCAAGACGGCATCAGACAATACCTGAAATGATTTTGCAAAGCTGTGAATCGACGATACTTCTGTCGCGAATAAATTCTGCTGGAAGAAATAATTCGTACAATTGGATACCCCGAGCGGAAGAAATCGTTAAATATGCGGGACGCGTGCGCGGTGAGAAACTTTTCACAGTAATCAGGACTCACTCCGCTGTGAGGCGAATTAAAAACAATTTTCAACATGAAACTCCCGATAAAAAGGACCAAAGACACATCGCGGTGGGCGAATTATAAAAAAAGTTGGAATCCACTTGAGGAATACCGGAGAGCGATACGAACGAAATGAGGTAAAATTCCAAACAAAAGCTGTGCGAGTGGCATTCAAACATTGTTGGGAATTGCACAATACGAAATAGTTAGTTCATTCAGTGGAATTTCACCGACGTATTTCAAAACGCGGTAGAAATGCGAAACGAACACGCTTTACTTAATCAAAAAATTCATTCTCCTGTGTCCGAAGGACATAAATCTTCCGTGATAAATGATGTAACGGATGATATAACTGTTATATCATGGAACAGAGCAGAAGAGAAAAATTCCTCACTTACTTTGACAGCAAAAAGCATCAATAGAATGTGAAAAGCATGCCATTGTAGCTCCATATCTTCTGAAATTTGTTACTCCCGAGACGCTTGTTTACGCACTACTGACTCCTGGTATTTCACTCTGAAATACGAGCTATAAGTGGAACAAGAACAATCCTTGATACTTGGTAGCTATCGTTAAAGCAGACCCAACATTTCTTATCACGATATTTATGGGAAACTTGTAACTTGTATACAACAAATTTCTCGTAAACGCCAATTTTACACCGATTACGAGCCAATAACAGCGATAATTTGAAATCAATATTGGAGTTGCAATTTTCTTCATCCACGTATGCTATAAATTTCCAGGAATGGAAGAAGAATGAAAAATTATTGGACACTGGACAAAACAGTTAACATTTTATTAATGACAATTCACATGAAGTTATATCGAAAATGATAGCTTCAATGTACAGCTTCAACACGAGCTGGTGGCATAGCGCTCGCTCCTTCTCCGGTCAGCATCACATACGGCAGCAGCTCCCCAATGCTTTTCCTAGCGTCTGGTGATAAGTCACGTCGTTTCAACAAGTACAGGAGATAGTCATGGACAAAGGCCCCCTTGGAGTCACTTCTACCAATGGGTAGCTCGTTGTGGACTTCAAGCAGATGTGGATTTTTCACGAGATTGGCAACAAGCTCTTGATACGCTCCTTTCTTATCTTGAGGGATGTTGTCATACGGAATGACTTCCGCGATGGTCCGACCAATATTCACGTTCGTACTCAAGAGGAATTTTTGGATCCAAACCCAGCTTACGTTGACAGCCCCCTCACCATCGTGAAGGACCTTGTCCTTGTAATAGACCAAGGCTTTCCTGATTCGATCATCGATAACAACTTCCGAAGATTTCAATGCAGTCTTGATAATGGTCGTTAGAAGCTCGCCTTTAGGTGTTCTCAAGGGTGGCACAGGCACAGCCAATTCATCAAGTAAATTGATCTTGGAGAGAAAATCTCTCATACCATTCCATACACTAGTTTCAGCGTTAGAGTTGGGTATTGGAAGTGCTTTCATTAACCCAAGTAAATCAACAGTCCAACGGCCACTCGACTCATGCATACCCCCGGTTATTAAAGCTGAGGGTACTCTAACGTATATACTCGGAGGTAGGATAATCCTCAAGTAATTTTCGATGAGATCCAATAAAACCTTATCGGATTTAATTTTATCCGATGCTCGCAGCCGGTGGAGGGTCCAAATGAATAGAGCTCCTTTGTTTGGGTACCAAGAGGGGATGATATCATCGCCCAACAGCGTGGTTATGATCGATGCTTGGAACACTGACACTAGTGGACGAAGTGCTATTTCGTAGACGGAGTTTCTTGGTAGCTGCGGCAGAAGACTTGGAAAAGGATCTCCTTCTCCAATTGGCTGTAGCCAATATTTTGGATTTACGAGAGGCATTGTGGACAGCGAACCGTTCTGATAGCTGTCAGGTGGACTGCGAGCAAGATATATTATATCCTTCTTGGAATTTGCGTGGAACGTCTCGTCCGTGTTGTTGCCGAAGGTCACCCAGGTCACGGGCTTGTCGAAGTCCATGAAGTGAGCCACCAGCGGCAACAGAATATACGGAGCCACGAACTCAAAAGCTTCTAATGTCGCCTCGATGTCCCTCACCAACGTCGGCTGAGTCTGCACTTGACTGTTCCAAGACGCCTTGCGCAGTACCTCAATCACCACAGAAACCTTTGTGGGAAAATGGCTAGACCAGTGGTGCTTACCCAAAATTATGCTAACGTAATGTTTTCCGAACATCGCTGTCAAGGGCTTCACAATTTGGCGCCTCATTTGTTTGTGACACTTATCTAGGATAGTTGTATTGTTGGAGGGCTTCTCTTCCAAGTGAAGGACTGAAGGTAGGATGATGGCCCCTGGTACCTGGGAATCAACTCCAGATCGCAGGGTTTGGACAACTGGTGGTCCACTCTTGGGCTTCACGAAGATGATGCATTTTGAGGGGTCTATGGACGGGGGTAACTTTGATGATATGGGAGGGTCGACGGGCGATGGCGGGGGGTGCATTGGTGGTTTTGGTGATGGAGGTGTCGTTGGTTGAGGTGTCGTTGGTTGAGGTGTCGTTGGTTGAGGTGTCGTTGGTTGAGGTGTCATTGATTGAGGTGTCGAATGCTTCGCAAGGAAATCGTTAATTTGGTCGAAGATAGATGGCTCTTCATGGGCTGGTGAATCCTGCACCTTTGCAGGTGGCTTAGTTACCGGTTCTAGGATGTGTGTAACTACTAGCTTGGGAGCTCTAGGAGGTTCTTCAGTATGTACCTCTTTCTCCGGCAGATGAGCAGTGGAAGATGTTGTGTTAACGCAGATGAGTTTGCTATTCTCTTCTTTCTGCAAATCCTGATAACCCGCACTAATCAACAACTCAACACTGGCAATCACCTGAGGGTCCGCCTCTTCCCTCGCCAGAATTTTCTCCAACTTCTCCAGCATATTGAGCACACACTTTTTCGGATGAACGCATTGGTCTCTATCCAGAGTGATGATTTGTTGCAGCGCATTCCACAAAGGCACATTCTGATACATCTCATGAGCGATGTGATTAATTATTTCTCGAATTTTTGGGTCAGCTCCTGGTTCATCAATAACATCGATCACCGTCCACAGAGGTATGTAATGCTCCACCGGTGCCGAAATTCCTTTGATCAAAATTAAATTCGATAACAATGCCGACACAATTCTCTCAATTTTCACATCCCCGTCGGTTAATTTTGTTTGCACTTTTGCTAGATACGCCAATATTTGGTCTTTCGGGTAACGATACATATACCTGTTGGTGTCAACGAGAATGTGATCAAACCGGTCGTCACCCGTTACAACGTATTGCAGTTTTAATCCTAATTGGTGTATTGACTCATCGAAGTTCAACGGTGCTACCGACGCCAGAATTAATTTCAGGTCATTGTCCTGATGCGTGGTAATAGGGTCCTCGAAATGTTCACCCCCTGATGATTCAAAATGATTCAAAACGTATAGCAAAACTTTCTTCATCTTGGATGGAACTTCTGCATCCTTGCAGATATTGTGAACCAAATTACCAAGTAGAATGTAGGGATCTCCACTCATTGGATTGTAACCGTGAGAATTCCAATTAGGAATCCTCTGGTGCTTCGCTTCTTCGGCGATATACTTAACGTACTCTTCGAAGATAGGATCTCCATCAGGGTTGGGCAAGTCCAAAAGGATTATTCCAAACAGTAATTGGGGAAGTTTTGCATTTGCCAGAGATAGTTGTTGGAAGATTTTCACATAAACCTTTCCCAATTGTTCTTCTGTAACTTTGGATCCTTCGTCATAGTGTTCCAACTCGTCCTCTGGGTGGTGAATGCTCGATATCTGTATCGCTTCTTTGCTGATTCCGGCCAAGAGATCTGAACTGCCTTTCATAGATTGCAGGAGAACATTGAAATCAACGTTGTCATTGGTAATCTGCTTTATCCAATATTTGATGGCTGACGATAAATGCGGCGGCGGATTGCGCCATAGTTCATTCAACAGAAGGACAAATTGTATCGATCCACTCTTCCCTTCCATTTTCTGTAATACTGGGAGTAAGTTGTATAGGTAGATGGTTTTCTGTCGCAGTGCATTGTAAATCATCTCGAGTGACGCGTATTGATGTCTCGTTAATCGCCCACGGGGTAATTGAAGGAGATAGCCCATAACGATTATTGCATTCTCGCGGAGGATTATTGCTGCCTCCAACTTTTCTAGTACATCATCCGAAGCGACTACAACTCGTTTAACTGTTGTTGCAGATTCTGTTGTTGTTGTAGGTTTTGTTGTTGTTGTAGGTTTTGTTGTTGTTGTAGGTTTTGTTGTTGTTGTAGGTTTTGTTGTCGTTGTTGAAGGTATTGTTGTTGTTGTTGTTGGTGTTGTTGTTGGAGGTGCAGCTGTAGTTAGAGATTTTGTTGCAGGCGGTGCGGTTTGAGGGTTTGATATTGGATGATGATGGGACGGTCGACGACCAAATATCGCTCCAAGAAAAGCACTTGGCCGCCAAAACACGTTGTGATTTTTATTTGGATTGAAAAGTTTCTTCAAGAAAAATCGCTCTTCGATGCTTGCATCGTCTTCAGATGAATTGGATGGGGGAATTGTGTAGTATTTTGATTCTCCTTCATCTGATGCCTGAAAAGAAATTTTGCCGTTATTATATTCAGAAAAATTTCATTTGGCTGTGCAAGATCTGTGCACAAAATGGTATTCTTTCATGCTAAGAAATTGAACAGTTACAGCCAATTGAAAAATTGTATAAAACATGACCTCACAGTGTCCGTTCACGAAAAATAACCCCTGACCATTCGAGAAACTCGAATAAACTCACCCTGTAAAAGTAGAAGAAAAGACTTACCAATCGTTTTACTCTCTCCGAGTGCCCATAATTCGTCTGAAAAAGGAAACGAGGATGGAGCACTTAAAATGATTAATGCAAAACGAATTATTAGTTTTAATGAAAGAGCCTCATTCCTACAAAAATGTAATTTTCTCAAATGCTAAAAAATAAGGGTCGGCATTCCAGTGAATCAGTCATAAAGACTGTTCACTTTCCTGCCCCATTACCCCCAGCTTTCTCCGCTTCATTGTGATATTTGAGGAGAGCATGGAAAAAGCAATCATAAAAGTCCCATAAAGGAAGATTAAAACATTTTAAAACTCTTCAGCTGTTCACAACGATTCTTCACGAGATTAAAAAGACCAACTTACGACGGGATTTGTCGATCCAATGACACCAGATCTGATGAGTACTATGCAAATGAAAATCGTGGATGCAATCATCATTCATCGGCGATCCATTTGCATGTTGATAAAAAAAAATCACTGGCCAAACTGGAGCGCGACTTCATGATGATTTTGGTTTTATATAGTACGAACTTATCACATTTCAAATAGCCACCTCCATATCTCGCTTGTTATGCCGAATCGACAATTAAATTGAAGTCATTGATTTTTCAATTATAGTCCGCGAATGGTGTTGAAATAAAAATATCGTGCGATGATTATTTACATCTCTAATTGCTAACGATAATTCACTCGATGCATTCAATCATTTCTTCCGAATTATTACATGTCATTCAATCCTCTTGTTTCAGGATACGGTAGCATAGCGCCTCGTTCAACTTGGGGGAAAATAGCAACTATGGGCTACGCGACACTTGGAATACCTCTTACTCTCGTATACCTGTCGAGTGCAGGTGGACTATTATCTCGTTGTGCTCGCGGTGTGTTCACACGCGCATTGTGCTGCTGTCTCTGTTCAAACTGCGGCTATTGTTGCTACGACGAGAGGCGGATGCAGGTAAAATGAACATTTTCGAAAAGAGAAAATATTTCATGAAAAAAATCAAGGGTTATTTTGAGAGTTGTTATCTCAAATTGAGATTTTGAAAGGGCTCAGTTGCATTTCATTTCATTTATTCGTATTCAAAATTGAATAATGGAACATTAACATAGCGCTTGCACACAGCGCGTAAATCATAGTACATTCTCATAGAAGATTTAGTTTGGTTGAAGAATTCTATAATTTAAATCTTCAATTGGAAAAATTTTACGAAATCATTGAATTTCTTAATATATGTACTATCGAAGCAAGTGCCAAAAGTCTTAAATTGAAACCTTCAAAACTTTTATTTTAAGACCTTTGACATCTTAAAACAAGGTATTCTTTTTTTGGGTATTCGAGTCTTTCTGTCCGACAGAGTCACTCATTTTTCCCGGAGCTAACACACTGTAATACGATTCTCATCTCTTGAAATTCAGATGAATAATTACGAGTGGTTCGGCGGCGGTGTACCCTCATGGAAAATAGCAACCCTCATAATCGTTTTATCTCCTCTTCACTCCCGCGAATGCCCCGAGTTTCTAAATGAAATTGCTAAAACTGGAATTAAACATGTGCCTTTAATCTGAAAAAAAAACTGCTCCAGGAGAAAGAGAGGCGAATGCGAAGGAAGAGACAGCAGGAGGAAATGAATCAACAGCAACAGCAACAGCTTGCACTGCAGGAGCCATTTTACGTACGAGCCAATGCCTCGACGTATCCGAGCTCAGTTGAAATAAAGGCAAGCCCGAAGGACGAAGTGTCGAGTCTTGGGTCCGGAGATAGACCAAATGTTACTATTCTCGCGCCAATTAGCATTTGTCTGGGTGCTATGCTGTGTTATATAGTAGCCGGTGCTTTTACGCTATACAAACTCGAGGGATGGAACTTCATTGGTAAGTTAGTGTGCTGAGTTGAGTTGCATTAATTCACTCGAAGTGTTATTAACTTCATTCAACTAGTCTTAAGAGAAGTAGATTGGATATTGGGATATTACACACAGGAAAAACTTAAACGTTAGTTACGGTTAAACTCTTTTACGCTTTCTGAAATGTATTTTACGCTTGGAGTTGAAGCGTAAATTACGATTACATAAACGTAATGTACCATTTCGTTTACAACTCGCTTAGCAAAACGTAATTTACGTTTAGGTTTTTCTGTGTCTACAACACTCATAAACAGTGGTGCACATGAATGCTGATTTAGTAAAACAATGAGTGAAGTAAGTTGAACTCAATTCATCTTTCAATTATTTTGGGGCATAACAATAGGTCTCAAAGTATCAGCCTATCGTATCACATGTAAGCTGCCATTAATTAACTTGGCATTACAAACTACATTGTTAGAAATTTTTTGTAATTTAAGTAACAGATGCATTTGAATTTTCAATATTCGGAACTTGACCTCAATTTCAGACGAAATTGCTTATGGAATTCCTGATTCATTTTGGAAATTCCATGTAAATAATCCGTTGTTTAAAATTTCAAGAGTAATTTTCTAACAGTGTACCAATGAAGGTAAATCGTAAACTCTTCCCAAAAATCTTTCAGATGCCAGTTACTTCTGCTTCATGAGTCTGAGCACCATAGGCTTTGGTGACATGGTGCCAGGTTCCTACCCCCAGAATAATTTCACGGAATCCACCAACATAACAATATGGTTTTGCTCGTGCTACATAATGTCGGGTATGGCACTGACAGCAATGTGCTTCAACATTCTTCACGACGAAATTGTCCATCGTCTAGCCCATCAGAGTGAGAAACACGACTCAGTTAAGCCAAGTGTTAGCGTTGACGAGCTTTCGGGGGATCCGTTTGCCCTGACATCGTGACAATTTCCATCCAGTAATTTGTGCCACAGAAATGTTACCGAAGAGACACTGTGTGGTGAGCCACCAGTTAGTATTTTTGCCCATGAAAATGAAATGAATATACTGAAGGATAGTTATAATCAGGTGGACGTCACGAGGGATTGTAAGCCCATCATCAAGCTGGAAGATCATCTGGTTGGGCCAATGTCAGCGGTTTATACACTACCTGAGGTGGATGAGGAGGCTGAGGAGAACACGGAAATGTGAATCGCTCCCACTGGACATTGATACTGAGGGCATTGATGTTGAACCTTACTAACAACTTGGGTGGGAAAAGTTTTGGCGCAGCGAGACTCATGTATAACGTACTCAAAAGTTTGAGATTGAGCCATTGGGTGCTGTATACATCGGGTCGATATATCGGAAGAATCTCACTCCCTGGGGGGGAGCCTGGACTTTTCTAATATGTCGAACTAGTGTCGGCTCATGACAGCTGACAGGCATACCACTGCCAAATGTTGGAAAATTAAAAATAAAATCAATATTTCTACTTGCTTGTCTAGATAGGAACACTCACAATGGTTTCTTTTGTATTTCTGTAAAACTTCGTCCCGTCAGAAGATTATTCACATTCTTGTCTGTATTATAATGAAGAGGTAAGATTTTACGGTGGGAAATCGGAGTCGTTGAATGTCGACTCGTTAATTTGTTGTCCTTGTCGTGTTGACTAACGATTGGAGAAAATTTATGCTCAAGAACAATAACTAAGAGTAACTTTACAGGTAAATATAGAGAGACTAAGAATGTTGCGTTTAGAAGGACTATCCGAGATGTTTTAACATTAATATTCACTTCAGAGGTATGAAAAGGAGTAATGAATAGTCGTAGGGGAAGACGATCCTCGCACATTTGTCAATGGCCATTGGAATTCGGTGGATTAATCATTGAACAGCTGTTACTTCTGTGACAACGTGCAAAGGTCGCCTTAAGGGGATTACCATTGCGATTTAATGGAGGAATAATATGTAGGGGTAGAATCCTTTTTTCGTTTTTAACATATCATAACATAAGTTGAGATGCGAGCGCTGATCGTGACATTATGAACAATATGATGGCATTTAAATCGTCATTTTGAGAACATGCTCGAACAATCACTGAAGGTAAAGCGTTACAATTTTGGAAATACAGTGATACGAGGTGAAATTAATTTGTCAATCGTGACGGAGGAATCGATGAATTTGCGAGGGAACTGCAAATATCTAGACACGCACTTCATTAAAGTTCCATAACGATTCCCGATGAGAATTCAAGTGCCTCCCTTACCAACGATGTCGTTTTTCTTTCTATCTTCTCTATCTCCATTCATTCGTTCATTCGGTTTCTCTGTCTCTCTTCATTTCTCATTCTGTGAGACTCAAACCTTCATCCCGACTCTCTGGGGAAATATCATGGAATCGCGCGACTGGGACATTACGAACCGCACGATACTGTACCCAGCGCAGGCTGTGTTCTGAGAGAAAGAAAAAAATTCTATGAAAGTTAAATGCCTTGGGAGATATTTCTCTTATGCCGCACAGCCAATCGGGATCGATTCCGATTTTAATGATGTATATTTTCGAATGAGATTGATAGACGACGTATTGTATTTGATGCCCTGCGGTTTTGGGGGAGGACATTTTTGGAGGGGTGGTAGAGAACTTGCAACGATTTTTCATTCTTTCCTTTTATCTCGAGTTCTCGAACCGAACGAGATTCTTTGGTTGGAAAATGTTGACAAATTGGCCATTTACGAGTGGTTAAGGACATGCGAGGGTTTTTTTGGGTTCGTAGGCAACACGCGTTCTCGGCTGAAATTTGTTGTGCATTTTTTGGAAATATATTCATCAAGTGATAGTGCCATTGAAATTTTACGGAGTTGCGGCATTTAAATTCCGAAAAACACCCAACACCATGAATCTGCCCCGAATAATGCATCAGCCCGCAGAAGAGCAGAAAAATGAGCTTCATGCGAGCCTCCTCTTACGTCCTCTAAATCCTGCATCCTACGTTTCAATCAGCACACTGTTCATTTCCGAGGCGACACGACGTTGCATGTAATCACGAATTAATAGTATTTTTATTGCACCGTTAATGCCACACCGAATGATTGGACACTGACGGTCATACATATTCAAGACACAATATCGCGTCACTCCCAACCGCGTCTATAACGGAGGTCAGTAAGAATCCCAATGCAACGAGTACTTGTGAGAACGGCAGATTACGAAATGTTTCAAAAGATAATATTTCTCCAAGTACTGGAACCTACTCAATAAATGTTTTCTTGTACATAAAACAGAGGCACTTTGTATAATAAAAATATAAGTAATAAATTTAAGACTTATCTCATGCATTCAATTCATGTAAATACAGAATGTATAACACGTCCTGGTAGTGGTATGTAATATCGTTGATGAAAACAGAAGTAAAAAGAGAAAAATTTTATGAATTACGACCACTGCATCGTCTTCGTACATCCTAGGTGAAAGATAAATATTTAAAGAATAAGCAGAACAATTGTGACGAAAGGAGCCGGTGATCTGGGAAATCCACTGTAAAATTTGTCCCGCAGCGAAAAAAAAATGTACATAATACGTGAGGGATGCAAAAAATACGGTCACTGTAAAATATTCATCACTAAAACGCGACACTGAGTATAATCGTCTGTATAATCAATGGTCACGCAATGTATCTTATAATGCGAAATAAAAGTATTGTCAAAAACCGACTGCATCTGTTGCAATATTTCCCTATCAAGTGCATCTTGGATTGGCGCACAGCCAGTAGATCATGGAATCAGTGACAGAATCGCAATCTGGAATTGAACGAAAGGTACATAATGCCGATACTAGAGAATACCGATGAGTAAGCGAACAGCGGGGACAGAATGAAATTCAAAATGGGAACGTAAATTGCCTTGTGAAGGGATGCAATAACGGAGAGCACCTCGGCTCCACTGGATATCATCAATCATGGAGTAATGTACTCGGATAAATTAAAGGTACGTGCAAAGGGCAATATAAATAAATTTCCAGTGGATAGAACTCATGAGGGGGAGATCAATGCCTTCGAATAGGTCGATAATGGGGAGAGTGATGGTACCGATTGTTGATAAGCCAGAAATTTTCAAATAGAATTATATTTGATAAAGTAGAGAACAGTCTTATCAACGGCTGGTCAATTATGGATGCGTGTATGCGCATAAATTAAAGGTACGTGCAAATTGCGAAATATAAATCAATTTCCAGTGAATTAAACTCATGAAGGGAACACCAATCCTATCGAATGGGTCGATAATATGGAGAATGATGGCACCAGCTGTTGATAAAGTAGAAATTTTCACATATTATTCTTTATTTGGTAAAGTGGAGAGCAGCTTTATCGAAGGCTGGTACATGTGGTAATTTCTACAATATCTACTGATGGTCAAAAATGTTAATTATTTTTCATTAATTCGTCAAGCAGGAGGATCAACTTTCACACATAATTAATATCATATGTAATACAGTTGTCCCTCAGTTTACGCTTGTAAAACAGAAAATGACACTGCTGGACAAATACTAGAGTGCAGGGCTACGTAAATGAAGTGAAACACTGGATTACAATGAAAGAACGTTTATTCAATGGATACGCGTCTCGCAGTACCTTTCTATATAACAGTCAGACGAGACCGTGGAGTGCGTTGCGCGCACTGTGTGACGAATTTGTATTTAAATTTCCCGGGTGAGAACTAACCAAGTTCATGCCTATGCGATTAACCAATGAGGAATCAGTCTTACGAATTTCGAGATATTTCGACTCTAACGATGTTCATTTATGTGTATGACCTTTCATAAATAGGAACGCTTGTGTGAACGCACGTAAGAACAACGGCCCCACGCCGAGAGCTTGCGCATGCGCAAGTATAACGGAAGAATAAGTATAGTACAGGCTGTTAGGTATAGGCAACAACGGGAGTAAGATCGGGAGCAGGCGCCATTTATTCCAATACAAGAAATCTTGATTGTTCGAACGTTACATACAATTATATACAATTGTTATAAAAATGAATATTAAATTCGGAATTCGATGAAAGATTTTAAACTAAATTGAGTTTTACATTCGCAATATTGAAGATATAAACACAAATGTTACTCAAATTTTAAAAAATTTAGCGATCCAAGGGATAATCATCAATAATCACACAAAAATATATATTATAAAAATATTTTATTAATAGAATATCCACACTGTGAATATTTCGTATTACGTCACATCGTCAGCAAAGATGTTCATATTTTCTTACAAAGAAAGATTCATCCAATTGCTACGATACAATAAGTTATATTCAGTACGTCACTAGTGTGGTAACATTATAGCACTTTGAAACAGAATAATTTAATATTCTTGGATATTTAGTACTATTACAATTATGAAATCACAACACACAAAAAAGACTATAAAAATTAATGCATTCCGATTTGGAATAGAGAGGAAGATGCTGAGTTACTTTGGAATATTAATATGGCCATAAAAGATTGATATTCTAGACTAAGACTACTAATCAGTCCGTAAATCCGGTCGGGATGAGAGATTAACTTGATATAGATAGACTTGTAGGAGAATTGCTGTGTCAACCATCACCTGGAGAACTCCACAAATACTGAATTGAATGGGTGCTTCTCTTTGAACAAAATAGCAAGTCTTGAACGTATCACCAACAGTCCACATTGTCACCATAGCTATGCTACAATACACAAAATAATCTTGATAATCCCACCATCAAAGGCCCTTCCATAATCCTCGAACCGTACATTACCTCATTCCTTCAGTGGATTTATTATGCAGATTACGTAAAAATTGAGGTACCCCCAGCATGGCTTCAGTTAGTACAGCAAGCAGGCCTACACTCTCCACAAATATCGGATAATCGGCGAATAAATACATGAGAAATCCACCAGCTACTCCAAATAGAAGTATGAAATCCAAATACGACTGGAAGTCTGTCCATTTCCAAAAGTATTTAATGTCCAAATCTACGTGAATTATTGTTAAATGGAGACTACAGTAAATATAAAACAAGATTTTTTTACGCTGTATTTGTGGAAATGATACGGCGATGATGCTGTTAGTCACATCATTAGTAGTTATTCATACCTGTGAATGTTCGCTCCTTGGCTTTGATTATTTGATTTTTATTGCGAACCGTTACGCAGAGCCTGATCATCACGAGCATTGTTATGTTCATGAGAATACTTTGGAGGAGGAGAGGTAGCTCGAAGCGCTTTCCGAACCTGTTGAGTATGGAAGAACATTACAAAATTCGTCCCGAGGGAATTCTATGCAAGTCATCTTAACACGAAATGTAGAGAAAATTAAGAATTATTGATTGGATTTATCAGTTCTTTTATAAAAATTTCAACGGAAATGGCAAGTTTTGATTGAAACTTCTTCGGAGCAAAGCTAGTCCTAGGCGTTTTTAAAATCTGGTGAATACATTTTCCAATCGCTTTGATTCCCTCCGGCTTAAGGATGTACTACACCCATTCGGGCAAAATTCGATGTACCTCATTATTAGATTCTATAACTATTATTTTGTTTTCATTCTATATTGACGCTCTCTTCTCTCTGTGAGGGTAATAACCCACAGTGTGTTTAATAAATATATATATCCATATAAATATATATATCTATATATATACATTTTCCAACAGCAAATAAAATTGTGAAGTAGAAAAAAAATGCGAGATAAAATCTTAAAATAGAAAAAGATCAATACATTAGGTTCCTCCATGCAACTTATTATTTAAAATTTCTAATGTTTTTTCAGATTTTTAGAATGTTTCCTAACGATTCAATATCGAAGTTCAAATTCAGACCGGCAAAGTTTAAATAACAAAATGATTGTAAAATGTGCGGAACCTTAAGGTCAAATGGGGCTCAAATGGAAGCTCTAATGTTCGATTGCAAAGGGAGAAAAGCAACTTAGATTCCCTTTTTTTCATACCAAAAAATTATCCTTAAAGTATTAGCGATGAGCAAAGCCAGACAGACGTAAAGTGAGAATCCTTCGGCATCGTCCTTCCTCCTAATTTCCCTGTACTGTGGAATATATGGCACAACACCACCGAAAATCATGGCCCCCGAGGCGATAAAACCGAGGGCCTTGCTAACAGTCATCTCTGACTCTGCCATTTTATATTATAAATTCGACAATGGACACTGTGTCGTTCAACTGTCAGGACATAACTGACAACAAGAACTGACTGACTAGGATTACTGCCAGTTCGAGGTTATGTTATGACACATTGACTTGACATAACCGTAATCAGTATGACTCAGTTTGTTTGCTATTGTCATTACACATAACTGATATGTACAACAATGTTGAGTGACTTCATCCGCAGACACCGCGTGGAATAAACACCCTTAAATGAGATAATCTGCATTGTTTATTTCATGTTTCGACTTTCTAATCACATTTTAATTCCCTAATTGTACTAATTGAATTAGTGGAAATACGCCACATCGACGGAACGCGAGGACTCAACCCCCCCCCACTAATACGAGACATTGCGACCAATTATCAGCGTGGGAAGGCAACACATTTGAGGAGTGATGTGTACGTTTATTCATAGATACACATGCGGCGTTGCCAGATCGACGCACAGAGAAGCGGGCGGAGTTGGGATTAAGGCGGGAGGCTGGGAAAATGTTTGAAAGGCTTTTGCAGCGTAACACTTCATTGAGAAGCGAAATTGGGTTGCTTTTAAGGATATCCAAGTGTTATTTTAGAGTTTAGTATAGATCACACTATAGATTCAATCATTTTCAATCATCAAATTTGTCAATTAAATTGCGTGAAAATTTTTTTTTTCAATTCATGAATATTCAGCAATTCGCACAGAATTATTATTGTTTAAACATTCGGAAATCTTATTTTTTTAGACATGAAATCGATTTCTGGTAAAATTCTGCATGTGAATAAATTTATTAGGATTCGGAACAAATGATTTTTAGGGTGGAAAATTAATTGTTTATAAATTATTTCATTTCTCCAAAAGTAAACTTTCCAATTTTTTTTACAGATTTTAAAAATATTTTTAACAGTTCAATATCGAGATTCAAATTCAGACCTGCAGAGTTGAAATAATAAAATCATTTTAATATGCTCTGGAAGGCTCTGATGTTCGACTACAAAAGTAGAAGAGCATTTCACAGGAGAACAAAAAGCCAAAGTATTTGGCTGTCTGTGACAATTATTACATCCTCCAATGGATAGATTTCGTTCGTTCTTTGTTCTCATCAGGCGAATGAGCCCTGTCACCTGAATTTCTTCTAAGAAATTCTATTGAATAATTCTATTAGTTTTTTGCGCCAATTCTATTAAAAATTACGCAACGTCTCCCTGCATTTGTAAATGTATATTTGTTTACAGAAAAATGTTTTCAGATGTCGATATTTTTATATAACTTATTCTTTTGGATAACTTATTCTGTTTTCTATAAGAATTCTTGAAGAATTCATGATTTGTTTTCCTGAATTTATTATGAAAAAGACAAATAAAAATACAGCGGAAAAATCTTGGAGAATTTACGCCCAAGAATTTCCACGTAAGAATCAAAATTTATTGAGATTTTTTATCAAATATCTCTTAACGAAATAGTAACGAAATACGACATAGTAAAAATGCAATCGAAATTAAAATGATGAATATCATCCTATTTTTATATTTTGATGAGATATTTAAACCTTTATCAGCGTAAGTCGCAATTCCTTCAATATTGATGGCCATTCCTGCGCTGAAGCGGGAGACATGGCAACGCTGTACACAAGCGTGAGTGTACCGACCGAGTTGACTGCGCATCGTCATGTTTCGGGAGTTCCCCGCGCCAACTCCAAGCCCAAAAGGGTCGATTCAAGCGAGCTTTCGGAGAACCAACTTCTCCAGATTGTGTATTCTATGAATATCGTGTAGGAACATTAATTTCGGGAAAAAAAAATTTATACTCGGAATGTTTACATTCGAATCATGAATTTTTAGTGGTATGAAAAAATCATTTTGATTGAGGTACGGAAGCAGGTAAGTGACTACTTTTAACTATTCATTATTTCAATGTTTATAACGAAATTTAATTGTCGGTGGAATAGGATCATTGTTATTTAATAATAAAGCACTTTGTGACGGAGTTTTAGATATTTTTACGAGGGAAAAAGTGTCTGATCGCTTCTGCTCTATTCCACTTACGTAATGACGATTCATTGCTGTTCATTAACAGTTATTAACGCGTATTTTTATTTTAGAAAATGGCAACAGTTAGGGCTCTCAACCATATTCTCCGGCGAAAGCGCTTTACAGTATCTAGTGTGCCAATATCATCAACATCATCGTGCTACTTCAGCACCGGTGGCATGTGCAGATCTTCTAATCAAAAATCACTATCGAAGGTCGATGAGAGTAACGCGGGTGGACAGGTGTCCACCACTTTTGCGGAAGTAGGTAAATTTTGTTACGGGTTCACAAAATAATTAATTTTAGACGCGGAGAGGGCATCTATTGAAAATTCCCTCCGAATTTCAAATATGTATTAAAAATTATATGAGAACTTTGTAGTTTTCAATAAAACTATAATAGTATTCTTACAGAGCTCTTACAGAAATTGAATACAATTTTCTGTAGGAAACGCTGGATTTTTCTGTCGGATTTTTTATTCATAAATGTTTTGAACGAAAATATTGCTTGCTGACAGTAATAAATACATATAGAAACGTAGAAATTTTATATTTTCTACAGTTTTACGAAAAGTCGTAATTTTCAAGAGACCGACATTTTACTCGATTTAAGGAAGAACGAATAAAAAAGTTGAAATTTCACTGAAAATTCAATGGAATTCACGATTTTTGAGCGGCAAAAGCGCGAGCATTCCCTAATTTATTTAAATTTTCAATCTAAGCATGAATATTAATCACCAAATTGCGTTGAATTTTCAAACACTTGAAGATTTAAGAAAGAATAAATAAAGAATATATTTACCTAAAATTCCCCGATTTAAATTCTTTGAAATTTCAGTAAAACTGTCACTTCATAAAAACTTCCAAGAGGCGTACCGCAAATTTCAACGTCGATTCAAATATTTCAAAAATCGTCTCGATAAAAATTCCCGAAAGGTGAATTCAGAGATAATATCCAACGGATTTTTCTCTCCGCAGAAGGATTCGCTCTAATAATTAGCCAATGTTAATAATTTTGTGATTTATTGCAGTTAAGGAAAATACAAAATCCGCCTGGTACGTGAGTGTGATAATCGCCGGGGTCGGCGTGACCGCTGTGATGTTCTACGCGATTTTCAAGGAACTGTTCTCGGGGAAGAGTCCCAATAGTGTGTATTCAAAGGCCCTCGATAGGATAATGAAGGACCCGAAGGTACTCGACGCTCTGGGGGAGCCTATCAAGGCTTTTGGAGAGGAGAACCGTCGGGGTAGACGTAGACACGTGAGCCACACTGTCTACCAGCATAATGGCAAGCAATATATGAGGATGCAGTTCTACGTTCAGGGCCTGCGAAAACGGGGGACTGTGCATTTGGAAGTGCGAGAGGTGAAAACCCTCATTTTTCACGAAATGCCTATTAACGCCTATTAATGCCTATTAATTTTTAGCTACAATTTCTACTACAATTTTTAGAAAATTTCATCAACAGACAGTTTCTCCGAAATTTCAGAAGATTTCGTGATTAAAAATTCAGAATCTGATGAGAAAATCAATGGACAATAGAAATTTCACTTCAATTATACTGTCAAAGTTAATAGAAATCGAGAAAATTCAGTATTTGAGTTTTCACTTAATGATTAATTCCAGTGAATATTCAGTGAAGTTTAAAATTTCATGACTTTTTCATGCCTGAATCGAAGTGAATGTCGCTCTCCTGAAAGTTATTACTAAATTGCAAATAATTCATGAAATCAATATTAATTGTTAATTGTTGGCATCCCTGAATATCACTAATAATTTTTCGTTCAACTCTTCATGACGATGAAGAAATCAATGGACACTATAAATTTCAATTTAATTATCCCATTAATGTTGATAGAAATCAAGAAAATTCAGTATTTGAATTTCAATTCCATTGAATATTCAGTGAATATTCAGTGAAGTTTGAAATTTCGTGACTTTTTCATGCTTAAATTGAATTAAATATTGCTCTCCTAAAAGTTATTCTTAAACTATTAAAAAAAGCCACCAGACATCATATTGACGTTAAGCGTAAATAACGTTAATCAAAACGTAATTTACGTTTAGGTTTTTCTGTGTGAAGTGACATTAGCTCCATTTCCCTGTTCCAAATATAAATTCTCAAAGACTGATTCCCCTCCCATTCTGCATTGCAGGACGATTCAGGAGACTTCGTATATCGCTACATATTCATCCAACTGGAAGACATGTTGCGAACAGTTATCATCGTAGAGGACAACCGAGCATCCGAAATGCAGACAAATAAAATTGAGGACGTAGCGCCATTCGCCTTTCCCCTGAATTAACAGATAATCCCCGCACTGTAGATTTATTGCCCTTACGTCTAGTCTGAACTGTATAAAATCTCCATCAGACACGACAGATTGTTCTCCAGAAATAAATTTTTACACATTAAACCCATATCGTGCCGCTTTCAATTCACAACATCCCATTTTTTCGTCTCAACAATTCATCATCATTTTAGTAATTCGTAGCGCCACGTGGGCGTATTGTCGGGGCGTTACCGGGTAATGAAATACTGAAAAACTATGTAGACAGTTTGACCTCAGTGACAAAGATGCAATTAGTCATAGCGTGAAAGAACAATAAGCATTAGCCACCGTTCATCTTCCTATAATAGACATCGCACAATAGACATCTCAACATTCAAATGGGTCAAGGAGATTGAAAGCTACACTGACAGAAAAAATTAGTTTCATCAAGAGAATTTTATTTGAACCAAATATCATTTGGTTGTCAATCTTCAAATGAACATGAGTTCATAGTGAATACCAGTTATTTCTTCTTGAGATACACCTGATTGGGAGAAATCGAGCTTCTCTAGAATTGAAGTTCCTTTTATTTGTCGCAATAATGAGAGCATTTGAGTTCTTTCTAGCCAAAAGTTTGCCAACTCCAGAAATTCGTTGGTTTACTCAAAAATCAAAATTATCCTCATGACTAAATACGTTGTCATCTCATCAACACGAGCATACGTTGTTTCAAGTTAATTGTAATTGAAGTGAGCATTTCGTACGTCGAATCAGGATGAATATTGTTACGCGGAAAAAGCTTCGAGATTGTAGTAAGATGTCGTTGAGTTGAAAGAAGTTTATATTTCTTGACTAAAAAAATCGCATTAGTTTACAATAACAGAATCACAGATTACGGCAATTCAACACAAACTTGGATATCACAAATTTCGTTCAATGTGATGTACGGAAAGCTCAATTTAAACATCGGGTTCAGTCGAGAAAACAACATTCAATTCATTCCTCAAGGTACGAATTTTTGATCAATTCATGAAAGTAGAAAATTTCTCGACTGGAGATTAATTAGGTTAAAAAAAATAGAACTTTTCCATTTTCGTGGTGAATACATGTGACTTGACGCCACGGACTGTTTTATTTGATTCAAGTAAATGCACCGCAAGACGAAATAATTCATACTCACCGTAAGATCTCATTCATTAAATAAGAAACATCTCAATAAAAATAATTTTTCCACCAGTAGCGTTAGAACCTGACCCTCGAAGTTCTCACAAGTCATAAATATCCTCTAAAGTGTCTCGACTTGTAACCCAGCTAAACGGATGGAATTGATCTCGATTGTTATTCAATAAAGTCAATCTTAGATGAGATAAGCTCGCTACTAGTGGAAAAAAATAACGTTGAGTCTGACATGGAATGTAATCTATCAGTTCAATCGACGCCCTAGAAACGGACACACCCTGGGTAGTCATCAAATGTCCATCAAACGAAATCTTTTCTTAGATCGTATAGCGTCAAATGGACTATGACTGCGAGGGAGATGACTCTAAATGTAGAAGTGTATCAATGGACATGGTTCAATGAATTAGTCACCTATGGCGGTGAGTCAAGCAAGACGACGTAGTATCAATATATTTGGAGGTAACACACGCACGAAGAAGTGGACAATAGCATTTTTTTACAAATGAGTGTCGTCGTCATTTTTTAATAAATTAGCAATTTGCTTTCGAATGGGTTCTCCTTTTTCAATTCTCATTTCACTATTCTGTTCTTCGACAACATTACGCGGCGCTGTCCCACCGTGAGCAAAGAAAGGACAACACTAATTACAGAATTAAAACAATTTAAAGTTCCTCTTACGAACTCAATCACACTCTTATTGGAAACAACAGATCCAAAAATCCTTAAAGTGCTACACAAATTTATCATAAGTAATACACGGAGAGAAATATTCAATAAAAATTACGTATCTTTTACCGTATTAAGTATTTTTTTTAATTTACATATCTTTTACGTAAAAAAAAAACACGGTATCGGTATTTTTTGAAAAATCACGATACCGTCACTTAAATTTTCTGAGTCGATTCCGTAATCGGTGAGCGAACTGTGAGTTCCGTGATTTTTACTGAACATTTCTCTCCGTCTTAAATTAAAATAAAAAATCTTTTCAAGGAATTTCGTTGCGAAGGTCCACGAGTTGATGAGATGATCGAGGGAAATTGAGAATTTTAGGTGAATTGATGAGGTGTTTCGATTGTAGTGATTCTTTGATTGAAAATTGAAATACTTTAGGGAATTTTGGAATTCCAGGGAATGAAGGACTTGTTCTTACCGACAAGTTTATAATTTGAAGAGCGATTAGTGGAAGATTATTTTTAATAGTCATTCGAATAGATAATCGATGGTGAGATTTTTCAACGGAATTTCCGGGAATGTCGTCATTGAATATTTACTATTTGATGAGATAAGCAAAGGAAAATGTGAATTTCAGTTGAATTATTTTATTAAGTTTGATAGAAAATGAGGGAATTCGGGTGGATAATTTCTTCAATTTTTAATTGAGAGGAATTTTAATGTATTTCGTTTTAGTTTTTTCATTAAAAATTGAAATAAATTGGAGAATCTAAGTAAATAGAACATTACTGATAGTGTAAATAAATCCTGTAGAATTAAGGATGTTCTACACCCTTTCTGCCAAAATTCACGTTTTTTTAATTTTTCTGGCAAACTTATGATGGAATTGACGTGAAAAAATATAACGTTTTTGCGTTTTGTCATTATTTAATGACTGACGAAATTTTAAGGTGGTGCGAACATTTTCCTGCGTTTTCTCTAAACTTTTAAAAAGAATCACAAAACTGTAGAAAAAACGCATGAAAATTATCGCACCACTACGCAACTTCGTGAGCCATTAAAGAATGACAAACCACAAAATCGTTATATTTTTTCACGTCACTCCCATCGATAATTTGCCAGAAAAATGAAAACAACACCAATTTTGGCTGAAAGGGTGTCGAACATCCTTAAGCGCTTTAACCAATAAAAGAAAAGGAAGTGAGTACATTCTTCTCCCAGTGTATCGTAGGAAGCCTCCGCCTACAAAATCGTCGGTGCACTGCACCTTCATAGCAGGCGCCAAATTGTGATCGAGGTAGGGATGCTACATGCTGTCGATACGGCTGCAAGAATCAAGCTGACAGTCATTCACCGGCCGACGAGACGTTTATAATCATTGCGCTACCGTTCCCCAAGTTCATTAGCATAACGAGGTGAACACGTGCGGTTCGCGGCATTAGGAAAATCGCAGTTCCCTCATGCCCGATGCGCTGTGCGTCAGGTTCAATTGATCTGGACCCCACCACCTCCAGCGATGGTGGAAGGACTCTCCTGAGGAAGTGAAGTTGTCGGTAAAGTTTTCTCTGTGTCTCGCTGAAATTAACGTCATCGGTATGGGAAACTGCTGCTCATCGTGCTCGAGATTCAGGGCCATCTTCCGGCCTGCGGTCGATGGGACGCCGATGAAGGATGTCTGCACGAGGCCGGAGTGCCTGCCAAAGCCACCGACATCGTCGGAAAATGGTTTGTAAATTTACCGCAATATCGGAAGGAGTTACTTAGCAATGCAGAGTGGGCACTAAACAATTATTCGCGGAGAAGAGGCACATGCTTCACCCGGCGTTGTGTAAATTTAGTTAACGTCCTGCCCGAGTCGGGTGGAAACGCTTGGAATTCGCGACACGAGTGCCTCTTGCTTTATCTCTCTCCGTACTTGACCTTGCTCATTAAACGGGGTTAATAAGGCTATGCATTCGGGGGGAAGAGGGATGGGCGAACGTTGAGTTAACTTCATTCAGGAATTTTCACGGCTAATTACGCAGCCTCGGGGCTTACGAGGTACTGCGGAACCGGGTGCATATGCATATGCATGGGGTGATTGAGAGTTAATAATTTTAAGGGCAATTGTTGGAGTTTAGTTTTCATAGTCGAGGAGATTGTCGATGGGGAGATTGGTACGTAGGAATTTCAAGGAATTTCGTTGCGAAGGTCCACGAGTTGATGAGATGATCGAGGGAAATTGAGAATTTTAGGTGAATTGATGAGGTGTTTCGATTGTAGTGATTCTTTGATTGAAAATTGAAATACTTTAGGGAATTTTGGAATTCCAGGGAATGAAGGACTTGTTCTTACCGACAAGTTTATAATTTGAAGAGCGATTAGTGGAAGATTATTTTTAATAGTCATTCGAATAGATAATCGATGGTGAGATTTTTCAACGGAATTTCCGGGAATGTCGTCATTGAATATTTACTATTTGATGAGATAAGCAAAGGAAAATGTGAATTTCAGTTGAATTATTTTATTGAGTTTGATAGAAAATGAGGGAATTCGGGCGGATAATTTCTTCAATTTTTAATTGAGGGGAATTTTAATGTATTTCGTTTTAGTTTTTTCATTAAAAATTGAAATAAATTGGGGAATTTTCGCCGTTCTGGTGCCCAAAGAATTTCAAGGAATTTCATTAATTTCTATGGATTTTTTAAATTTGTTGATGAAAAAATTCACAGAAATTGGAAATTTCAATCGAATTATTCTGCAAAAATTAATAGAGAGCAAAAAAATTCAGGTGAATATATTCTTGAATTTTTAATGAATCGAAAATTTAGTGTATTTTCTAAACTCTTAAGAACTTACGTCTGAATTTTCTGTGTCAAATCCCGGAAATTCTTATCATGTTTAATTTCCACTAAAATTTGAGGAAATCTTATCATTGAAACATCACATATTCCTTTAATGTGCCGTTCGAATTATCAGAAAGTCAATAAAATACTCGATTTTTCAGTTCACTTATTCCACGAGAATTCGGAAAAATCAGGAAAATTCAGGGAAAAGTCGGAAATTCACGTAATTTTGTTCCTGAATTTCCATGTTCCATTAAAAATTCAATCAAGTTGTGAAATTTCCGTTGCACTCCCACGGAAAACTCATGAAATTTCATAACCATTATTACCTCAAATCGGATTCAATGTCACTCTCGTGAGAATTCCTACCACATTTTCCACGAAATTTCGAAGAATGTTTACAAGTATATTAATACTCCCCCTGAACACTCAAATAAATTTGAGGAAATTCTCGTCTTCCTTTTTTTTTTTTATTGTTTTAGAGTGCTGAAACCCATACATTAGGTTATTTACACTTTCATATATTAATCAATATTAATTCAATTACGTCTTCTTATTACACATTACTTAGATTAAACCTGGATTTTACAGTCTTTTAGGTATTTGCATATTTCTTCTATGTATTTAAAATCTGTCGCATTTACAAATTCTCGTCTTCCTGATGCGCATAAATGTCAAATTCCATTGAACGGAATTTTTCCATCCAAATTAAAAAATCGTAGAGTAATTGTCGGAGGATTATTTCCAATACTCATTTGAATAGATAATCCACGACCAGGGGCACCGAGCATTTCACTTCCTGCCGGCCTGCGCCAAGGTAATGACATCATCCTGACGACAAGGACGTGGAGACAGTCTGAGTCCCTAGACCAGACGAGAAGTGATGAATATTATTGGCAAGTGCGGGTGTTCCATTGATCTTTCCCTCGTTTCGAAAAGTCAGCGTCGCGTGGGAAACTACATGGTGCGTACCGAAAAAAGGATGGAAACCACTTTACCTTGACCACATGGCCGAGAATAGATCGAGTTGTTATGCTTACACGAGAAACGTTTATCGACTGGAGCCTTATTTCAAAGTGGTCTGCGCCACGTGGCATATGTTCTAGTATTTGAATGGTCATGAGGGGAAGACATATGTGGGCCAAAATTTATGGATTCTTGTAATGGCTACATGCATGAAACTATTCCGTAGGAAATCTGAAGCATGTGCTGAATCGTCCTCCAATTTACGCTTGGGAAATTCCCCTAATGGAATCTGACGAGTAAAAAATTCTGGAAATTTTTGAAATTTCCACATTGAGAGGAAAAAATTAGCTCTGTCGAAAAACTGTTTCATATGAGATAGTTTGATGAAGTGGAACAGATTTACTCGAGGGAAATTAACCAACTTGAGAGAAGGAAATGTAACGTCTTTCACAAAAATTAAATTTTCTTCGTGATCATCAGAAATATTCCTAGAAGAATTCGAACTGCTGGCGGGAAAAAATAAGATCTATAATTTACATTACATTATAATAATTATAATAATTAATTATTAATAATATTGATAATTAATATTATTAATATTATCAATTATTATAATAATTATAATTATAATGTAAATTATTTATAATTAATTTATTATGATTATTATTAATGATAATAATTTACCTAGATAAAAAATAAGATTTCCGAAAGTTTAAACAATTTCAATTATTTATTCATGATCAGCGAATGTTAAAAAAAAATAATTTTGCGCAAAATGACTTCATGATTGAAAATGATTATTGAAAATCTACAGTGCTGTCTTCGCCAAACTAAAAGATCCTTGGATATTCTCAAAGTCAAATGTCACAATGATTACTGAATGCAAATGCTCTATTCCATCACCAAATTCTATTATTGTTGGCCACCCATCACCAACTGAGCCTGTCGAAACCCAAAATTAGTCACCAACAGTTTGTTCATCTGCTCACAATTCCCCTCCGTCAATGAGTAATGCCTGCAGGGCATGCCACTCCACCTGGTATGAATGAAAGTCCACTTGCGTAAGACTTATCGCATTATGTACTTTATTACATCATTCATCTTGCATTATATCGCCTCAACACCAGCCCACGAACAATGAAAAAAATCCCGAGAGGAACAAGAACCGCGGTAGAATTATTTTCAGAAAATGTCAAGAAGAAAATAACTCCAAACACTCGGCTAAGATCATGAAAGGCGCCGCTGCGTGCACCGAGTGTTTATCCCACGCATGCATAAGCGATAAAAGCCAAGAATTCCTTTCACGCAAAATGATCAATTTCAATGTACGCCTCCATTGAAAAAAATCGCGCAGTGCGGTGGTTATAATCGATGAATTGCGGAAATATATGAAAAGCGAGAGAATGAGTACACTTGAGCTTAACGAAAATAGCATTGCACGATGAAATCAGCAGGAATACTGACCTTCAGTCGCGTATTCACCGAATCTGTTTGCCTCTTATGTAAATTTATTCAGATGTTGCATTCCCCATTTAGATCGACGTGTTTATGATCCAGAAACGATGAAACAATTGCACTTATTCTGACACATGCTCTGGACATCGTGTACACGGAGAAAAATTTTTTTTGAGCTAAATATTAATTTATTTAAGAGAAGCATTTACTTTCTCAATCCCATATTTCTCCAGTCGAGACAATCGCAGCCAATCCTTATTAGGTTTCAATTATGACAATTATATTGCTCGAGAAGATCATCATATTAGTTATTCTCTTGAGTAAACTCCCTCAATAAGTACCAACATTAAAAAATCAATCGAAATTCTTCCCTCTGAAATATAACAAATTTAGGAAAACTGAATAATCATTGGGAGTATTCGTCGAAGGTCATGTGCAACATAGTCATCCTCTAGAGTAATATGATTGTCATAATTGAAACCTAATCAGGTTCGTCTGGGAGTGACTCGATGTTGAAAAACTAAATGCTTAAAATTCTCTTTAATATTAAGAGAATTAGAACCTCATATTGATCAAAGTTTACATATAATCATGGAAAATTGAAAATAGTAAAATTTCCGATTGAAGATGAATTAAATAATTGATAATACGAAATTGGCAATTGCCTATTGAGTAAATTATAATAAATTTCATACCAAAGATTTTCGATTAACCAAATCATCGTCATTCTTCATAACTAAATTATTTTAATTGATGATTCATTTATTAATTCATTAATTAAATTTTTTTTTAGTGGTGATTTATTTATTCATTTATTATTATTTTATGATGATTATTTAAATGATTTATTTTTATATTATCGAGTATATTTGTTAATATTAAATCTACAATTTAAAAATTGCAGGGTAATATTACCAAATTGACTAGCCAACAATTTAACGGTAATTCTAATTTATGATCATGGCTATCTCCGGTAACGTATGTACCCGATGAGTGATAACAGTCATCGATAAATATAGAAAAATTACCAGGAGAGATTACTAGGATGAACCTCTATAATGGACTTTTGACGACAAGCCGTAGATAACGAATTAATTCTTAATTAATGGAGATGTACAAATGAAGGGAAATGATTGTGGCGCCGTAGGCAATGGTGACTGTTTTGTTGGGAATTTTATCAGTGTCTCGGCTGATTTTATCGTTACAATCGAAAGTATTTTAAGAATAAATTTGGAAATACCAAATTTTGCGATTAAAGTAGCTCTACATTGCATGAAAAAAATTTGAGAAATTCATACCCAGCCAGTATTATCTGAATTAAATTTCGCAAAATATTGATATTTTTTCAAACATTTCCCTCTTATAAATAAATAATAAAACTCGTTCGCAAAACGGTGGATTATTTTTTATGAGGTATAAAAAAAATTCTTGTTTTTTTCACATCTAATGAAAAAAAATTGAGATTTTAATCTTTGGTTACAATGGAAATGTTGATTTTCACATAAAACACTGGGTTAAATCCTGATTGTTAAACATTTCTTCTTTGAAAAACCAAAACGATAATTAAATTGAGAAAAAAATTAGAATTCCGAATCTAATCGAGTTACTTTAAATTTTCCCACTCGAAGAGAAGAAAAATAAGAATGATTTCACACCGGATTTTGCTTGAGATGGAAAAATTTTTCAATTCTAGAGAACGATAATGAATAGATTATAAATATCTGAGTCCCCGGCGCCGATGAAATTGATTCATCCTCCGCGCTCTAGGATTAGATTAATCCAACTACTAATTCATCTTCGCTGAGGAGTCACGAGCCAGCGTAGTAGTTATAATTTGATTAAAACGTCTATGAATCCTCAAACGACTCTCATCTGCGAGTACAGTTTGAACTCACGTACGTGTGTGATGAGGGACGAGAGAAAATGTGGATATCAGTGGTGAGTTGGATAGACCCAGGTGTTACATCGACTGGCAGTTACCACTGATGCGATAATGATTATGTCTGCGATTGACCGATTATGATACTCAAGCCGCTACTGTGGAAGGACTTGCCGAGTGAGTGATGCGGGGACTCTTAATTTTCAGTCGGTGCAAAGTCATTTCACGGTGCATGATGAAGCTGTGGCGCAAGATGTGTCCGGTTGGCTGCAATGGAAGTGTTTGAGTGCTACGGGATTGCAACAGGAGACACATGCATTTCATTAATGACTCAATGTCTTTGTTTATGTATCCCCCTTTACTCAAGCTATATTTTTATGTATGTTCTTACGCTGTTTAAAAATATGGGAGGAATCACGTACGAAAAAATTACATAAACAATTCTGTTGAATTTATATTGAACTCCTGTTGAATATTCTAGTAATTTTTGGCTGATTGCAGAGAAATGTTTTATTGTAATCGAATAAAGTTCATTTGAATAGCACGAAGTAATGTTTTTATTTCAATAATTTTATTTCGATGTATGGCTCTAGGGCTTTTACAGTGTTTTTATCTAAATTAGAATTTTTTCAGTTGAACCTCTGTTCGTATTAAATGAATGATTTTGCGATTATCAATAAATCTTTAATTGATATTAAATTATTAAAAATTATATTTAAAAAATTTCTTCATTTGGAACAAATACGTTTTTTCGCCGAACTTCATGAAAATTTATTTGAATTAAATAAATAAGTTTATGTAAACAACGTGAAAAAATAGTTTAAACAAGTAAAAAATTTCAATAAAACATTTTGACTCGACTCAAATGAGCAATTTTCTGAGTATCCTGAGCAATTCCTCAGTTTTCCAATCGAAACTATAAAAACCCACTTCCCAGGATTCCGAGCAATCACAACTCCTTAATTCTCTGGGAATCGCCTTGCTGCCAGCACAAACATTCCAGGAATGGGATTACAAGTCATCTCATTCTCCATTTGGAAATCATGAACACTGCAATGTCCCCACTGATGAATTGCTCACACCTATCTCACGAGACATCTCGAGTCCCAACAAGAACTGAAAGAAAATTAATTTCCCAAGTGTAATTCAAGTGGGTGACAATAATGTCGATTCACTCACGCGTGTCCGGCTGCTCCCACCAATTATGGTTGTATGCAAGATACCTTGCACGTGGAAGTCGAGCCTTGAAAGTCTTTTACATCGTTGTGCCATGATTTACCCCGGACTGAACCCACAGTGTCATTTTTATTCCAACAGGTGCATCCCACCAGGATTTCTAATCCTAATGAATTCACGAGCAACTTGTGCCCATACCACAGGCTCTTGCATATACCTTACAGTCATTCGATTGTTCAGTTGCATTCGCGAACGCACGCGTATCTCCTGCACTTCCGTTTTGCTGCGACATTCGCCCACATCTCCCGCTGCCCACTTTATTGAGAAAAAGAAGTTACGGGAAAATAAAAATTTTGTATTGAATCGCTCGAGTTTTGTCCGATAGGATAAAAAATAATAAAAATATTTACATCACGCGCGGACTGTACTGGCGGGATCCACTGGCCAAAGGGTTAATCAACGGTTCACGAGGATTACGAGGATGTTTTACAGATTTTACGATCGCTACCGCAACTTCAACGACCGCCGTTTTCGGCCGTTTCCATTTAGATTTCATTGTGAGTAACAGTGGGCTGAGGAGGATGCTATAACTGACGGCTGGCGGGGCGGGGGGAGGGGTGGGCGCTCTCGAGGTGCCTTACACCGGTTCATTTACATTTTAAATCTACGGGGAGAGAAAAATCTGTTGAAAATTACCCCGGGTTTTTGAAAGTGGGTAGGGTTTTGCGAAATTGGGGTTTGAAGGAATTTTCCTGGCAAAAACGAATGCCTTAATTTCACACAGCTTTTGTAGATATTGTTAGGACAAACTGCTGAATAAAGTGAAAATGTGGCTGAATTTCAGGTGAACAGGTGTCCAAACATCTTAATTCATTTTTGAAATTCAGACAAATTTTCATTTTATTCAGACGTTTTTTAGTGTCTGGAAAATGTCTACAAAAGGTGTGGGAAATTCAGATATTTCTTTTGCTGTGAATTGTCATTGGAAACTTATAATTTCATGGAAAAACTGTAAATTTTAGTTTAGTTATGCCGGGAAAATTAATGAAAAGTTGGGAAAATTCAGAGAAGTCTCTCCTTGAATTCGAGATTCCTCTGACTTTTCCGGGAATTTCTTTAAAATTCTCAGGATTTCAGGAATTTTGAAGGAATTCCCTAGAAATTCGAGGGAATTGGACAGTCAATATTCATTTTTAGTTGACAATTCATGTAAATTGTGAAAATTTCATTTCTCTGCCACTAAAAAATTGGGACTTGATTTGAATTTTCAGAGAAACTTGAAATTCCATTGACTTCTTCTACTTAATTCGAACTCCAGTTTTTTTCCCGAAAAATTCAGCAAAATTTTTTTAACAATGTAATTTATCGAGGCGAAACTACATTTTTTCGGATCACTCCGATCGCGAAAAATGAAACACAAAAACCTAGCGGATACCATAGAAAATTCTATTGAATTTTTATTTCATCTTCCATTTAACAATTTTTATTGTTATTTCATATTGTTATACAGCTGTTTCTAATGAAACATTTGTAATAGGAATTTTTCGACGTGAATTCTCCAAGTTTTTTCCACTCTATTTGTTTCTCCACTTCTTAAAAAACTTCCGAGGAATTTCTGTAGAAAAATTTAGTTCCATTAATTTTTTCTATAGAACATTTTGCATTGAATATTTCCATCGATAAAAAATGCGCAGACGAGTTGCAGAATTGTTCAATAGAATCCAAAGACTAATAGAAAATTCAATATCTAATAAATTTTTCTAGCGAATTCGCTAGGTTTTTCACTGAGAATTTTTTGCGTTTTTTGTGCGTCTCGTTTTCTCGTTTTTATTTCAATTGAGTTGAAATTGAAATCCTCAAATCGTCTATTTATTTTTGCAGGGGGTGACTGGGGGATACCCATGCTGACGGTCCTCCGGGTGGACCCGTGCATTGACGAGAATGGCGAGGCCCACAGGACGTCGAGGTACGAGTTGATGAACCGCGAAGGGGTCAATGCCAGGTTGATTGTCCGTAGGGGTCAGGAGTTCTTCATGAGGCTACATCTCAACCGGGATTACGATCCTACGGTGGACGGTATCTCGATAGTCTTCACCCTCGATGGTGTTAAAAAACCGAATTATGGGAATGGGACGTTTGTGGTGACGCCTTTACTCAATTTTGGGGAGGTGTCTGAAGGCGCGTGGCAGGCGTCCCTCGATTCTCTCGAACCGAATTCAATCAGGATAAAGGTGAGGTTTTAGGCTTATTAAACCCTCAACTCCATTTTTATTCTCATCGACTCAATGGTTTTGTGAATACAAAAGAATATTTCTTCGATTCACATGAAGCTCTTAGTAGTTAGGCATCAGAACATTATTTGGAGACATTATTTTTTGAAAATTTTTGTCCGAATTTTCCGTGCCAAATTCCGGAAAATTTTATCGTATTCGAATTCCACCGAAATTTCTGGAAATCTTGTGATTAAAAATTCAGAATTTCATGGAAAAATCAAACAGAACTGTAAATTTCCGTTCCATTTTCTCCTGAAAATGAATAGAAAACCAGAAAATTGTGGTAAATATATTCTTGAATTTTGAGGACAGTGACACTGAATGCGATTTAAGGGGGAAAAAATCATGAATTTATCACTGAATATTCATATTAGATTGGAAATTCAAATAAATTAAGGAATTGGCGTCTTTATGCCCCTTAAAATTCTGGAATTTTACTGAATTTTCAGTCAGACCTGAAATCACGTATTGAAAATGAGTATATTGCATCGCACTAATTTTCAAAATATAATTTAAAATAATATTCAATAATATATTCCGCAGATAATATCGCCGCCGGACGTGCTAATAGGAAAATGGAAAATGGACATTGACGCCAAGCGTAAAAATTCATCAGGTGCCATAAGTTTCAGCGTTAACGAGCCATTCTACATTATATTCAACGCCTGGTGCCCAGGTGAATCATCCAGGAACAACTTCCTCTGCTCCCCCGCCTCTTTACTACTAGAACAAGTTCATACTGTTAAATTTGTATAAATCATCACATTTTCAATTTATCTAACACTTCAATGAAATTCCTCATGTCAAAAATTTTCAACAGTGCAGATGGCAATCTGTTCTTTTATGATTATTCTCTAAAAATTCAATGAAATTCCAGAATTTAGAGCTACGAAAACAAGAATTACCCAACGGACTTTGACTTTTATGAAAATATGAATATTCAGTACCAAAAAACGCAGACTTTTCAATTAATTGAGAATTCAAGAACATGTTTCCCTAAATTTTTCGGATTCCTATCTATTTTTCTCGAATAATTCAACTGCAATTTACAGTTTTCATCGGATTTTCCACACAATTCTGAATTTCCAATGTCAAAATTCCGTGAAATTCCTGTGAAACTATAATGTATAAAAAATATTCAAGAATTGTAATGCAACATTTTTTTGAAATCAAAATGTTTTTCCTCAAATAGACAGGAAATAATGAGGAATGTAGATTTATTTTGTCATCCTTGAATTAGTCTATGGTGCCATCTGCAAACAGTTTGATCTTCAATCAGATAATGGTTCTTCAATTTTATTTTTGGAGAAGGAAATTTAGTAAATTGCCCTAATGGATTGCCACTCGTGAATTTACCACTCAAAACACTTGCAAATTAATAGAAATTTATAGTTCGTATTTATTTTTGATTGTTAAAATTGCTGAAAACGGCGAAATGGCCGGGAATTTGGAAGTACGAACTGGCGGTTGGAACATCAATTCTCTTGGAAATGTAATTCGAATTTCCGCCAAAATCATCAATCACGTGATTCGAAATTGCAGATGATCCAGTCTTTATGGAAGGTGAGGAGGGCCGTCAGGAGTACGTAATGGCAGATGCGGGTCTCATCTGGCGAGGAAGCTACAAGCAGATGAGACCAACAGTCTGGAAATACTCCCAATTCGAGAAGGACATCCTAGACTGCTCTCTCCACCTCGTGACGGACGTGGCAAAGGTCCGTGTGACAGGTAGGCATGACCCTGTCACCATAACCCGAGTGCTGTCGGCTGCTGTCAACTCGCCAGACGACAACGGCGCGCTGATGGGGAACTGGTCCAACGATTTCGATGGGGGAACACCACCGACCAAGTGGCTAGGATCCCAGAAGATCCTCCAGGAGTACTGGAAGACCAAGAGACCGGTGAAGTACGGCCAGTGCTGGGTGTTCTCCGGGGTCCTAGCCACTGTCTGCCGAAGCCTGGGAATCCCCTGTCGCGTCGTGACGAATTACTCGAGCGCTCATGACACTCAGGGCAGCCTCACTGTCGACTACTTCGTCGACGCCGAGGGCAAGATCATGGAGGAATTGAACAGTGACTCAATCTGGTAAGAATACACAGGGAAACTACACTGAGAGAAAAACGACAAAGTTCTCGAACAAGTCTTACTTGTGCCAAGAAAACAGTTTTTTGAAAATTATCGAAAAAGGATTTTTCTGTGCCAAACATGCAGAGTGCGCCGGAATGAAAAATTTTTGTCACAAAAATAGATTCAGTAGTTCAAAAAAATGGATTCCCTTGCTTTCGTCACAGCATTGTGCGTGTAAAGTGAAATTTTACGCACAAGTGATGTCAAAAAAACACGCATACACGTACCGACTTAGCCCTTAGGACTTTTCTGGCTGAAACTCACTACTTTTTGGTGCCGAATTTCAGTGATTTTTTCACTGAAACTAGAAATCTGTTTCTGGATCTCAGTATCATGTCTTTTAGACCCGCGGGTTTCTGTATTTCCGTACCATGGCTCCGGCAACCAGAAATCTCTCTTTCTGTGTACCTTTTTTCTCCCTCGAATTCAAATGAAATTGCAAATGAAATTGTTCAATCATCCTCGATTCCCAAGGAATTTCCATGTATGGGATGAGGTTTGGATGAAGAGATTGGATCTCGGGCCGGAGTACGCTGGATGGCAGGCCATCGATGCCACTCCACAGGAATTGAGCGAGGATGCATATAGATGTGGACCTGCGTCAGTTGCGGCTGTCAAGAGAGGTGAAATTCAACGGCCTTACGACAATGGTTTTCTCTTTGCTGAGGTCAATGCTGACAAAGTTTTTTGGAGATACAATGGACCCACTCAGCCACTCAAATTGATCAGAAAAGATATCTATGGGTGAGTTCAATCTTGGTGGGGTTACTAGAATATTTTGTAGATGTATGCATCATAGAACATATAGTGTTGGAAGAAAATTGAAATTTTATGGAGTTGACTAGTAATTTTCAGAAGAGCGAATTCAAATTTTATTTTGGGAGAAAAAAATTCATAGAATTTCAGGATTTTGTGGAAACTCATTAAAATTCTGTATTTTTGAGCGGCAGGAAGACCAGAACCCCTAAACTTCCTTGAATTTATGTCGGAAGATGATATTCAGTACCAACTTACGCTGAAATTTCATCATAGTGAGGTCTCACGCTTCACAACATTCCTGCGGATCAGTGAAATTATTGATTCAATCACTTACCATCACATATTTTCCACAACTTATTCCTCAGATTCAATTATACAGTCTGCAGACGTGATTTCGAATCCCGAATCCCCAATTATTCCTAAAATTCTGAATCCTAAATCAACAAAATGATTGAAAATTTGAATTATACCCCTTGAACGAATCGAGTTCTTCTTTTTAAATTGTCAATTTAATGGAGTCTCTGTGAATATTCTCATAACGCTAAAAGCTGGTTTAATTAATTCAAATGAATATTTCTCAATGAGCTTTCGCCTCTTAACCATTAATGCCAATTTTATTCAATTAGCATTGGACGACAGATTAGCACGAAAGCCGTGGGTTCATGGACTCGTGAGGATATAACTCACATGTACAAGTACCCCGAAAGTGAGTGATTAAGTTATCTATCAATAATCCATCGGACTGCGTCAAATATTCACGTAAATTTCAGAATCCGATGACGAACGAGAAGCCATGCTGAAAGCCCTCCGCCAAAGTGAATCTCTCTTTAGTCGATATTACCTCAATGAGGAATTTAACGACGTTATGTTCAATTTTGAATTGCAAGATGACATTATCATCGGACAGCCGTTCAGGTACCACTTAAGAGTGAACAGTCCGCTGAATCATTCATTCCACGTTCGATATTAAATTACGCGGTTCTTTCTAGTGTCATACTCCTGATCAAGAATAGGAGCAGCGAGTTTGAGTATCGAGTATCAGTTATTCTGCGGGTGGAGGTGGTAATGTATACGGGAAAAGTTGGCGGGCCAATCAAGAGATCGGAGGTGGATAGATTAGTCAAACCCGGGGATCTCGAAGAAGTGAGATTGAATGTCTCGTGGGAGGAATATGGCCCGAGATTGCTCAATCAGTGCGCCTTCAATATTGCGTGTCTGGCTACTGTTAAGGATACGAATTTTGAGTACTATGCGCAGGATGACTTCAGGGTGGAAAAACCGAGAATTGATATTGAGGTGAGACTGCTACTCGGAGAGAAAAATTCAATAAAAATTATCAGACAAAAAAGGAAAATTACGTTTCGAAACGTAATCCGCGAGCGATGTAAAATTCAGTAAAAAGTGTGAGTCGGAACTGAAATTGTACGAATCGCCACGTAAATTCTACGATTTGGGGAGAACAAGTCGTTCCGTAATTTTTATCCAACGATTGAGAAATTTTACGGAACGGAACGTAGAAATGACTCACCAACTTCATAAAAATTGTTGAACGTTCAAGAATTTTTTATTTTGGAGGCACAATAAGTCAGCAATTTTCTGTAAGATTTTACTTCTTCGGGAAAAATTAAGCGACAATTTCGTACTTTGGTCGGTGATGAACCTGAAAATTCACTGAATGTTTCAGATTTCTTCTCTTCCATTCCTATAAAAAGTGTCGGAAAACGCTTTCCCATTGCCGATTACGTGAATTGTTCCGTAATTATTACTGAATATTTCTCCCTGTGTATTTCAATTCTGCTATTATACAAGCCAAAATCTCCTCGCCTCCTCTAAAACACGATTTATCATCAAGAAAAAATGTTTTGTTCGATCCCCAGAGGAGAACGAATGCAGTAGTTAACGAAGTCCTCGAGGCGACAGCGAGCTTCACAAATCCCCTCCCCATATCCTTGAAGAAAGGACAATTCCTGATAGAAGGTCCAGGCCTGGAGAAGCAATTGAAAATAAAACTCTCCGGGAGTGTTCACCCTGGGGACGAAGCCACCTGCACTTTCTCCATGACTCCAAAGCTCGAGGGTAGATCAACAATAGTCGTCAAGTTCCACTCGAAGGAGCTAGACGACGTCGACGGATTCCTGAACTTCATGGTGAAATCGGCGCAATACTCCAATAATGGTTACTTGTAATTCCTCGGGTCGAAAAATTTTGTCGGGCTTTTGGCTTCATTTGTCCATCACGAATGGTCGGTTGAAGAGCCGGTCTGTTCCGTGAGAATAGCCGAATGCACCAAGTACCGGCCAAAATGCAGTCACTGGTCGTCGAATTCTTCTAATTTCTTCGTAGACTTAGGAAAATTTAGGAAAACAGAGGAAAAATTTTTCAGTCATTGGCCTTTACACATGCACGAAAAAAAATTAATAGAAAAGTCTGGCGAATTCGCTAGACAAATCTATTGGATTTCTATCGAACATGCTATCAGTTTTCGGCGGATTCCACAGAGATTTTCTGAAGAATTTCCTGGGCTCAAATTTCCCAAGTTTTTCTGTTTGATTTTCTTGAGGAAAAGAGAAGAAAAATAGAGTGAAGTAGACTTAGAAAAGTTGAGCTGAGGGAATTCTATAGAAAATATCTCACTAGAATAATTTGTATAGAAAAATCGAATTCTATTGAATTTTTGTATAGAATATATTTTTTTTAATAATAGAAAGTTCAATAGAAATCAAATAGGATTGTTTAGCGCATTTGTTAGGTTTTTCTAGTAAATTTTTTCCTGTATGTATACCCAGACCAACAACCGACCAAGTCACTGAGTTGACCTAACACCAAATTTCCGACTCGGGTCATTACAAAATGCCAAGTACTTACGTCTAAACACAATTCTCCTTGTCTATCAAAATCCAAGCCAAAGTAATGATTTATGCCGCTTAATTCTTGCATCGTGATTAATCAAAGTATTTATATTGAAATATATTACAATTTTAATGCTCATAATAAGAAATGTAAAATGAAAAATGTGATACGTCGAAATCCTGCCGCTTCACGTCGAGTCTCTCGACGAAATATGTTAAGTTATCCATTCAATTCATGAATGTAATGACGATAATAAAGAAGATAAATGTTTGTTTCACTGTATCACCTAAATGGCTGCATTATTGTACGATTTATCTACTGACCAGAACTTCAGTGCGGAATTAGCGATGGGTAATCGATAAAAAAAAGTGTATAATATTTCAACAGCGATAATTATTTAGTTAATAAATTTATGATAGGTTCATTCTGATAAAATATTTTGGTTGAAATTTTCCGATACTTCTTGGCATTTTTTGTCAATTGACAGTTTTGTTGAAATTTCAAAGAAATTTTGTTATTGAAAATTCGATGGGGCAATCAATGAAAACTGGAAATTCCATTTCTATGAATATTAATCAGAAAAATTTCTATCCCGAAATTTAGTAAAAATTAATATATGATGATCAAATTTTATTCTACGTTAGAGAAATTTTATCCTGACGCATAATAAATTTCACCCTTCCAGCCCAATAATTTTTATTATAGATAACAACGAAAATTCTAGAACGATTGATAAATTTTACTCTACCGGCACGGTAATTTTTATTTTTATCAGAATAAAATTTCTCTAACGTAGAATAAAATTTGATCATCATATATTAATTTTCACTAAATTTCGGGATAGAAATGAGGAAACGATGCCTCATGATACTTATACAGAACGGTAGGATAATTTTTATCAAAAATTTTTCTCGAGGACACCGTTGTGATATTAACGACAGACAATCGAGTGAACCCGTTGAGATATGCTAATCCTGAATTCCCAAAAAAAATCAATTCAAAATTTCGGGGAGTGAGGCCCCTAGGTACCCCTCCCTCCTATGAAAAAAGACCATAATCGGTGAATATTTCATGGAATGATGATGATGGGCCTCACGCTGATATGCAAGCATTGATGGCTGTACCATGCATCATCGTTGGAGAAAATTAATGTTGAAATATGCACCAACTGTGAATGATAAGCACATGAAAAATGGGAAAAGAGAGACGATGGGATATTGAATGTTGAGGTGGAATGAGGAACCATGGAGGATGTTGTGGATGGACTATAGTCAGTGAGATATGTCTAAATACATAACCGTGACGTGTGATGGACGTGTAGCGGCCCCTGTCTACAGGGGTCTCAAGGAGCTTGTGGTTACGGGGGCGAGGGGGGAGGAGGTCATAAGAGTGAGACTACCACGGGGTTCTTCGACCGCGGGGCACCCTGCTATGCGCTATGCATCAACACCCGAGATCCATCCCATTATACCTCATCAAAATAACAAACAGTGAAGTAACCCGCTAAACCAACATTCTTTGTTGCAGCGGAATTCTTAAATTCATCAAAATTTTGATTTGGTAACGTTACGTGTGATGAATAAGTTCTCATTTTTCGTTTTTTTTTCAATCAGGGTTATCTGGAATCTACATCAGCTTTTTCGATTGGAATTTCATGGACTCATTCTCGGTGTATGCGGTCATTTGAAAAATTAATAGAAAAATATATAGCGAATTCGCTAGACCATTTTATTGAATTTCTGTTGGACTTTTCATTAGTTTTTGGTCGGATCTATTGAGTTCAATGGAAAATATTCTATAGAAGAAGTCAAAAGAATCCGATTTTTCTATTTAATTTATTGTATTGAGATATTTTAAAGAAAAATAAAATGGAATAAATCTGGAAAATTTTGGCGAACGAAATTCTGTGGAAAATATCTGAAGAGAATATGTTGGAAAAAAGAATCGAATGCTATTGACTTTTTCTGCTGAATATTTTCTGTTAAGAAATTCAATAGAAATCCAATAGAATTTTTTAACGAATTCGCTAGGTTTTTTTATTAAATTTTTTCGTGACTGTTTCGAATTTCATGGATTATTCTCTCATTCTAATGTCAACCAATAGGAATGCGGGGTGGGGGTAGAATGATTTCGATAATTTTTCGGTGAATAGAAATTTTTCTGTTCAAATAAATAAAGTTCTTATCCGGGATGAATTCCCCTAGATCCAAATTATGAAATTAGCAATGTTTTATTCGAATTGTTAATCGAAACGTGAATACGAATCAAACCGCGCTGAATCACTAATTAATAAAAAATTCAAGAATATATTCAGCTGAATTTCTCCGATTCCTATAAATTTTTATGGAATAATTCAGCTAAGTTCACAGATCCCATCGGTTTTCCCATAGAAATAGAATTTTCCATTACGAAAATGAATGAAATTTCAGTGGAACTGTCACTAGAGAAAAATTTTCAAAACGTAAACCGAAAATTGCGCGAAAAATTATTAACAGTGTAGTTCCTCAGGGTCTTCAGAGATGGCGGCACCGCCCGCTCTCGCGGCAGTATCTCCGCAGAATCCGATCCGTACCTTCAAAATATCCAGACATAATATTCGATATACATTCAATCCCCTACACTATGAGAAAAAAAATAATTTTCATGAACCGTTGAATTATAATTTTCAAAAGCGTAACATTAAAATCCATTTAGAGTGAAAAAAATTATGATATTTCAAACTCCACTGAAAATTCTATGAAATCCAAAATATTCAACAGCGAGAAAACAATAATTCCCTAGAGCATTTGAATTTTCGATCAAAACATGAATATTTAGTGCTAAATTACGCTGAATTTTCAAGTAATGCAAAATTCATGAAAAAGTCTAGCGAATTCGCTATTTTTCTCTCTCAATTTTTTCTTGCGTGATTAATTGCCCATTCCCCACGTATAAGTCTCCCCCCCCCCATTTAATTTTTTTAATTATCGCCGAGGCGACGAAAACAAATCGCCCTTGCGATCAGTGCGAAAATTCATTAATCGAGCTGCACTCCCGCATTCATTCACTGATAAATGCGCTCCGACCAAGACCACTTAATCCGCCGTTAATCAATGCCGAGCAATTGCAACTGCACGCGGAGTTTATAATTGCGGCACGATTCCTCCTCGACTAGCATATCGAGTAATCGAAAAAAAATCGAAAGACTAGGCGAGCAAAAGGGTGAACTGAAAATAAGGAATGTAACCATTCGTTTCATGTTGCAACTCCGTCTGGGCGCCCTAATGAAGCGATTCCATTTCAGTGTCGCGATATGCAGGATCTGTACAACTCAAGATATATCGATTGCGCACAGGATCTCTAATCGATTGTCTCGCTGCTGAAATTAATCGCCAGTATTTGCGCTAATAATTGCCCCGTCACACCTCTATCGTGCGCGATATATTACACTTATTATGACAAACATACGGTTGCTACATACACGAACAACTTGCAAACAAATCCTTGAAATGCGGTAGATTGATATCGCCACCATCGATCAATATTTCTTTTCAATATCCCCGCACCTCAATCATCTAGTGAATTCTGGGGGAGTTAAACGTTCTTATTATGACGCAAATCAATTTGTTCACATAGCGATAACTCGGTGGTCAATTTGTCCGATAACAAGGTGATACGGATCATCGATCAACGCCTGGTGGGCAATTAATTTATTGTCTATGATAACAGGAAAATTTTAGATCAGAAATTCAATTAAATATTGAATGGGTTTGATTGAATTCTCGGTTTTCAGGATAAAATAATATTTATTTTCATTGTGGATCCTAATTAATGACAGTTCGGAATTGTTGACAATAAGAAAAGAGATTGAAAATTTTAGATAACAAATTCAATTAAATATTAAATGGGTTAGATTCAATTCTCTGTTATCGGGATAAAATAATATTTATTGTTAGCAGGTTCACATTAATTCATTTTGAATGACAATGAATATAATTTTGAGGTGCATGATTGTGGTAAAAATCCGTGAAAACTAGAGTTTTTTTTACAGTGAAGAGAATAAAATTTTGAGTGAAATAAAATTTTGAAATAATTTCAAACATGACGAGTCCGTGTTTTCAGGAAAAAGAATGGAATCAATTTGTTCGTCTGGAGGACAATAGGAAAAAAAATGAAACTGCTTTGTTATCTTGAAGAGATGCGGAGATGAAGAGTATTTTTCAATTCTTGTCTCAACCAAATTTGTTCGTAGGTAAATTAGTCCCACAACAAGTTGATACGAATCATCAATCAACGCCTGTTGTACAACAAACTAATAGCCCATGTTTTCAAAAATAAGGATAGAATTGCTTTGTCGTCCGCATCAGAACAAGATCTTCTCCCGATAAGGACTGTCCCCTCGATAATCGAGGAAAACTGTAGACCACACCAGTTTTCTGAAAGACACATTAGTCCAGAAGAAGGATGAGCGCAGAGGAGAGGAGAGAGACAAAAGTTTCCAGCCGCATGTTCCACCCAGATCCGTGCGATAGGGGATATTACCTTGGACACACCTGCGCGCTCAAACTCGTGAAACGATCTAAACATCCAGAACAATGGGAGGAATTGAGTGAGAGGATGGATCTCAGAATGATGTGAAGGATCGCCAAAAGGGAGTAGATCTGATCGATCCGACACCTTTTCTTCCCCTCCGGCTTTTACATTTCGTACAGACAACGGGGCTGACTTTTTATAAGAAGGATTAGCGTTTCGTCGAACTGTCCAATAACATTCTTCAGGCAATAATAGAAAACCAGGAGATGTAGATGTTAGATTAGGGGAGATGGATTTTTCATTCTTTTTTTCTTGATGCCCATCACCCTCTCACGCATACAGAGAAAAATTTCCGTTAAAAATTTCCTCTGGTGTCTACACGGGGAACAAAGCTGGAGAAAAATTGGCAGATAAATCAGGGAAGGTGCACTCATCAATTTATTGCTTTTGGCCTTTGGAATCGAGTTTGATTCAACTTGACGGACATCATCCAAAAGCGGGAACCTTTGGTTTAAAGTTCCTCATGTCTTTGATTTCCGTATCCACCAAAAATGAAGGCTCGAGCAGTTGATGCAATGTCCTACGTCATTAAATTGCAAGAGTCAGAGACTCACAGGCCTTCGGAACAAAGGTGCTTTGAATTTTTCTCCAGTTTTCGAAGAATATCGCGGGATCTAAGGGAGATAGAAAAATTTTTGTTCCAACCTTTTTTGTAGAGCCAATTACGAGCTACAACAAATGTAATTATGAAAATTTCAC